CACTGACACACTCAACACTGACACACTCAACACTGACACTCAACACACTCAACACTGACACTCAACACTAACACACTCGACATTGACACACTCAACACTGACACTCCGTCTCAACACTGACACACTCAACATTGACACACTCAACACACTCAACACTGACACTCAACACTGACACACTCAACACTGACACACTCAACACACTCAACACTGACACACTCAACATTGACACACTCAAAACTGATACACTCAACACACTCAACACTGACACACTCAACACTGACACACTCAACACTGACACACTCAACACACTCAACACTGACACACTCAACACTGACACACTCGACACTGACACACTCAACGCTGACACACTCAACACTGACACACTCAACACTGACACACTCAACACTGACACACTCAACACTGACACACTCAACACACTCAACACTGACACACTCAACACTGACACACTCAACACACTCAACACTGACACACTCAACACTGACACACTCAACACTGACACACTCAACACTGACACACTCACACGTGTCAACCAGCGCCCCACCATCCGCGATTCGATTATCACGATTTGTGGTGACTATTTTGTTATAATTTCCCCCCAAACGTCATGACCGCCTTGGTTATTTCGGTAAGGTCACGTAGAAAGGAAATAATAAAATAATAAAAAGAAAAACAATTAAATTCTCACGACGTTTCGATTGCAACACAAGCAATCATCGTCATCACCATCATCATCAGGTGTGAATCTTGCTGCGGGTTTTACACCTGATGATGATTGCCTGTGTTGCAGTCGAAACATCGTGATGATTTCATCGTTTTATTTTAATCAGTTCATTATTTCCCCTTCTACGTGACTTTACCGAAAGAACCCAAGGATATGAATCCCCTTGCACTCGCGGAAGCTTTAAATCGAAACTCTTCCGACCTGTGTCCGTTCCTTTTTCGACGTCTGCTCCTCGGTCTTCTCCCCAATATTGGGTCCAGGCCACCGCCCCTGACCTCGTGGTGCTGCGGGGCATCTTCGGGAGATGCGCCACGGCTTTCTCCTCCTGAGGGGCCGTCCATATATGACGTCACGAGATTTTGGACGATTTTTGACCCCCCCCAATCCCTCCTCCTCGTCACACGGCGTCAGAAAAAGTCAGACCCCCCCCACCCCCCTCAAATATGACGTCACAAAGCTATGCCCCCGCCCCCCCCAAAAAAAACATATTTCCATTTTGAAAATGTAACATGCTTCAAATCGCTTTAAACTGTTGTCATTGTAGTTGCGTATTTAATGTGGCGCTGCGCTCTGATGTTGTAGGAGAAAACATTTGTTAAAAGTCTATTTAATTAAGTAGCCGTTGGTTTTCACACCTGATGATGACCGTTTGTGTTATGGTCGAAACGTCGTGAGAATTTTTTTGTTTTATATATATTTTATTATTTTATTGTTTCCCTTCAACGTGACTTTACACAAAGAGCTAAGAATATGAATATAAGTAGATCGTGTTGAATTTCGATTTAAAGCTTTCGTGACTGCAGGGATTCATATTCTTGGTTCTTTCGGTAAAGTAATAACGTAGAATGGAAATAAAATAATAAAAATAAAACATAATAAAATAAAATTCTCACGACGTTTCGGCCACAACACAAGTAGCCTTCTTCAGGTGAAGGAACAGAACTGTCATGGACGACAGCGCTTCAACGTCCCGTCACACATCGTCACAATTGTCTGACCACCCCCCCCCCCCCCCAGGTGCGTGACGTCATTTATGGACGGTCCCTGACGAGCACATTGGTGGTCGGTGCAAGAAGCCCCGTGAATTCACGCAGTCGAGAACTCACGAGACCGGGATATGGAGGTTTTAGGCTCCATCTCACAGAGACCCGGAGTCGGAATCAGAATCTTTATTTCGACTGCAGGAGGAATCCGAAGACCTCTAAAGCTCTTTTTCAGAGACGTTCAGTAGGGTTGAGAGCGCAGAAGCTCCAACCTCGCTTGCCACCGCTGTCTTGAATGCGCTAATGAGTAGCCAGCTATATGGCTGCAAAGTTTGGTCGTACATGTTTTGTATATCGTTTATTGTTACATTTGTTAAATTTATTGTTAAATTTCAATCACAGTTCCTATGATCACTGTTGCATTGTTTTTCATAGCTTTATTTTGGTGATTTCGAAAACGTTTTGGTTTAGCCGTGTTTGTTTGTTGTAGTACAGAGTTAGCCTGATAACTTTAATCTAAATGGTCTTGTGGTTGTTATTGTTTGACTTGCATCCCACCGGGATTTTTGCACACAGCGTTGAAATGCGGTGTTTTTTCTGGAAGACTTTGCTGTTTTTTCCTGGATTTTTCTGTTGCGTGTAGTCACTTTAAGACGTTTCTTGTTCATGTTTGTGTTTGTTTGCGGTCGCACCCGATTCAAGAGCCGAATGGCTCACAGGGCTATACCTAATAAATGAAACTGAAACTGAGTAGAGTACATAATATTGACTAATGTTAGATTTTTTTTAAATGTTTACCATCTCTATCACGAGCGGAATTACCGATACCGCAATGAAGCCCTCCAGTATTGCTCACACGTAGGAAATAACGCCGTCAGAAAAGCATCTCCAGATAAACAATGGTATAATGGCTCGTTTTAGCGTTGATTCGATTAGCGCCGTTCACTCCTCTAGGAACGCATCATGAGCGCTAAGCGAGGTAACCCGGTAGAAGTCTTCTGAACCCGGTAGACTTCTTCTAATCCTGGCAGAAGCATTCTGAACCCGATAGAGGTATTCTCAATCCGGTAGATATCTTATATTCTTGGTTCTTTCGGTAAAGTCATGTTGAAGGTAAACAATAAAATAATAAAATATATAAAACAATAAAATTCTCACGACGTTTCGACTATATTCTTAGTTCTTTCGGTAAAGTCACGTTGAAGGGAAACAATAAAATAATAAAATATATAAAACAATACAAAATTCTCACGACGTTTCGACCATAACACAAACGGTCGTCTTCAGGTGTGTCGGTTTGCATAAATTTTTACTGCAGTCACGAAAGCTTTAAATCGACGTTTCGACTGTAACACAAACAGTCATCATCAGGTGTGAAAAACAACGGCAAGAACATTTGAAAGAAGTGGCGGTTTGTAGTTATTTATTTTTAAACGTTAGCACCACGGATAGCGATTTGACAGTTTATTTAGAAGGACTAGTCCATCTATGTTCGGAAAAGAGGAGGGGGGAGACGAAAAATTAATGTATGCTGTCTGAAAGCCACCGTAAACAATCAATTAAGACCCGAAATGGTTGATCAAATCCTTCCAATGATTGCTAAGCCAGAATCCATCTTCTCGGTTGAAATTGTCTCTGTGTTTGTATATGTGGATAGCCTCATGAACGAATCTTTCATGGTAGCCAGATGGCTTGCAGAGAACCTCTGTCTTGGAGAAGTCAATGTCATGTGAGCCTACTGAATTATAACAGTGATCTGCCACGGCCGAGGTGTTGGTCCTAGCGTGTTTAAGGTCTGCTTTGTGTTCACGAATGAACCAAGAATATGAATTACTGCAGTCACGAAAGCTTTAAATCAAGATATCTTATAGTGTCATAGTTTCATAGTTTCATTTATTTGGATCCGGTAGTCACCTTCTGCACCCAATAAGTAATATTTCAAATGTTTTTTTTTAAAACACGCCTTAATGAAATGTACCGTACTAGTAATGGAAGAACTCCACGACTCCAGGACAACAGAGTGAGTTAAATAAAAGCGTGGAAATAATAAAAGTATTTTGTACCAGGTAGAAGTCTTTTGAACTCGGTAGAAATCTTCTGAACTCGGTAGAAGTCTGCTGAACTCGGTAGAGGTCTTCTGAACTCGGTAGCAGTCTTCTGAACCCGGTAGAAGTCTTCTAAACTCGGTAGAAGTCTTCTGAACCAGGTAGAATTCTTCTGAACTCGGTCTAAATCTTCTGAACCCAATAGAAGTCTTCTGAATCCGGTAGAAATTTTCTGAATCAGGTAGAATATTTTGATCCCGGTAGAATTCTTCTGAATCTGGTAGACGTCTTCTGTTTCCGGTAGAGCTCTTCTGGACTCGGTAGAAATCTTCTGAACCCGGTAGAAGTCTTCTGAACTCGGTAGAAGTTCTTCTGAACCCAGTAGCAGTCTTCTGAACTCGGTAGAAGTCTTCTGAACCAGGTAGAAGTCTTCTGAACTCGGTATAAATCTTCTGAACCCAGTAGAAGTCTTCTGAATCCGGTAGAAATTTTCTGAATCAGGTAGAATATTCTGATCCCGGTAGAAGTCTTCTGAACTCGGTAGATGTCTTCTGAATCCGGTAGAAGTCTTCTGGACTCGGTAGAAGGCTTCTGAACCCGGTAGAAGTCTTCTGAACTCGGTATAATCTTCTGAACCCAGTAGAAGTCTTCTGAATCCGGTAGAACTTTTCTGAATCAGGTAGAATATTCTGATCCCGGTAGAATTCTTCTGAATCTAGTAGAAGTCTTCTGTTCCCGGTATAAGGCTTCTGAATCAGGTAGAAGTCTTCTGAATCAGGTAGAGGTCTTCTGATCCCGGTAGAAGTATTCTGGATCTGGTAAAAGTCTTCTGATCCCGGTAGAAATCTTCTGAACCCGGTAGAATTCTTCTGAATCTAGTAGAAGTCTTCTGTTCCCGGTATAAGGCTTCTGAATCAGGTAGAAGTCTTCTGAATCAGGTAGAGGTCTTCTGATCCCGGTAGAAGTATTCTGGATCTGGTAAAAGTCTTCTGATCCCGGTAGAAATCTTCTGAACCCGGTAGAACTCTTCTGAATCCGGTAGAAGTCTTCTGAACCCGGTAGAGGCCTTCTGAATCTGGCATTAGTCTTCTGATTCCGGTAGAAATCTTCTGAACCCGGTAGAAGTCTTCTGATCCCGGGTTCAGAAGCTCCGCACCGGGCACAGGTATCTACCGGTTTCGGAAGACTTCTACCATGCCCAGAATACTTAAACCGGTAGAAGTCTTCTAAAGACGGTAGACCTCTTCTAAATCCAGTAGCACTCTGCTCAAACCGGTAGCCGTCTGCTTGGTGATGCATCTGGCACGTGACAGGGTGTCATGGCGGCGCCCATGCAGGCGTGATTGTCGTGGGTGAGTGAGAGGGCGAGCGAATCGGCGAGCGAGGCGACACGGGGAGACGCCGCGATGCAGACTCAGCTGCCGCCCCGAGTGCCGCTCTTCCTCTCCGTACTCCCGGGCCTCGCGGGGTCACAGGGGCTGCCGGGGGTCCCTGGGCGCCTGGGCCCCCACCGCCGCCTCCTCCTCCTTCCCCCCGGGCTCGCCGCCTCCCCCGCAGGGGTCAGCTCCTGGGCCCGACTGCTCGCGCACCCCCAGCAACCACCAGCGGGGGCGAGTGGCGGGACAGCGACTCCACGGGGTAAGGAGACACGGGGGGACTGGGAGACAAGGTGAGAGAGAGAGGGGGGGGGGGCAGGCACGATGAGAGACGATGAGAGACGATAGAGGCGTGGAGAAAGAGGAGACGGGGAGGGAGACACGAGGGGGTACGGGCCTCGGGGAGCAGGGAGTCCGAGCAGGAGAGCCGTGTCCCCGCGTCGCTCACTGCGGGCCGCCGTTCTCTGCTCGCAGTGAACTGGGCCGCCCAGGCGAAGAGGCTCTACGGGCGCAAGCGACAGGCGGCGCCGCGAGTCGGTGAGTACCGCACGCACCCAGCCGCAGCGGACTCACGCGACTAACGTGACTCACAAGCTAACGCGACTTGTAAACTAATGCGACTAACGTGACGAATAAAGGAATGCAAAGTCTGAATAGACATTCGAGATTGGAGAAAATACAAATTATTCTCGTGTCTGGCATTTAAATGCAAGGGGACAGATGTTGTAACTGTGCCGACATAGTTTGGTGAGGCCATTCGATGGGATCGGGGCTCGCCAGATGGATTCGGTTTGATCTGTTAATATTATTTTATTTCACCAGGTAAGGCCCCACTGAGCATACGTCGCTCTTTGTCAGAAGCGACCTGGTTGCAAGTGATAGCTCAACGAAGTGACTTGTCATCGCGTGGAAATGTATAGCAGCGAAATACTCTAAACGCGTGATGTTGATTCTAATTGTGGAGGGAAAAACCAGAGGACCCGGAGAAAAATCTACGCAACCACGGGGAGAGAGAGAGACACGCAAGCTCCAAATATATGTCGATTAATCAAGACGAGATTAGTGGGATTATCTCAGAATTCTCCCTTTACCCTGTCTCCGAAACCCCACCCACTACAGTGCCTACCAGGCAGCTGGATGACTTACCCCTGATTCTCCCCCCCCCCCCCCCTGCAGTGGCTACCAGTCACCTGGATGACTTACCCCTGATTCACCCCCCCCTGCAGTGGCTACTAGTCAGCTGGATGACTTACCCCTGATTCTCCCCCTCCCACCGCAGTGGCTACCGGTCACCTGGATGACTTACCCCTGATTATCCCCCCACCTACAGTGCCTACCAGTCAGCTGGATGACTTACCCCTGATTCTCCCCCCCCCTGCAGTAGCTACCAGTCAGCTGGACGACTTACCCCTGATTCCCCCCCCCCACCTACAGTGCCTACCAGTCAGCTGGATGACTTACCCCTGATTCCCCCCCCCACCTACAGTGCCTACCAGTCAGCTGGATGACTTACCCCTGATTCTACCCCCCCTGCAGTGGCTACCAGTCAGCTGGATGACGTACTCCTGATTCTCCTCCCCCCTGCAGTGGCTACTAGTCAGCTGGATGACTTACCTCTGATTCTCCCCCCCCCCCCCGCAGTGCCTACCAGTCAGCTGGATGACTTACCCCCGACTGCCACCAAATACGGCTTTGAGGGCCTGAGTGAGTTACAGACGTGAGTGCCGCACCACTCCTCACCACCACTCACCATCGCCCCTCACCCACGCATTCCGACTGTTCACACGCGAATGGCGGCTGTCCCTGCAGATGCAGGAAAATACATCGAGTCTCTAGCAACCACTGTCATCATGGACCGGAGTTTTGTCCAATCGCAGAACTCCCTCGGTTGGGTGAGCGGCACTTTGCAGTTGCTGACTCTTTTATCCTTCAGTTGATGAAAATGGCGGGTTCACTTCTATAAGGTTCATGAAGGGTCAGGGTTTAGAGTTAGATATGAGGGTTAGAGATATGGGTCAGGTTTTAGAGTTACTTATTAGGATTAGTGATAAGGGTCAGGGTTTAGAGTTACGTATTCGGGTTCGAGATAAGGGTCAGGGTTTAGAGTTATGTATTAGGATTAGTGATAAGGGTTGAGGGTTTTAGCAGGATCAGGTGTTGGGATAAAGCTTTAGGGATAGGTTTTATGGTTAGGGGTTTGTTTAAGGTTTACAGTTAAGGTTATGGTTTAGGGTTAATTGCACACATCCAGGCCCGGCTCTGCACGCACCCAGACCCCGCTTGAGGATCGGATTTCTATTTGCAGGGCCGACGAGTGCGTGCGGAGGCTGCTGTCGTTGGAGCTGGGAAGTCACGTGAGTCCCAATGCACTCGGCTGTTCCGGGTAGATTTAATAACACGTGAAGGTCGCGTGTACAGTTCCTACATTGTCCTCTTGTCTCGCACTCGCGTGTGTACTGGCGTGTGTACTGGCGTGTGTACTGGCATGTGTATTGGTGTGTGTGCTGGTATATGCCGCCGTGCTATGCAGAGTGACAAGCTGAAACTCAAAAAGCAGCAGTACATCGCCCTGGTGCAGCGGAGCCCCGAGGATCGCAGTTCCACCGAGGTTCAGAGTGAGGACTCCACCTGCCGCTACATCCACCCGCACCTGGCCGAGCGGCGGCCCCACCGAGTCCACAGTAACAGCGCACTGAGGAATCACGCAGCGGGGTCTAAGATACAGCGCACCGAGTCTACAATACTGCGCACGGGGTCTAAGATAGAGCGCACGGGGTCTAAGATACAGCGCACGGGGTCTAAGATACAGCGCACCGAGTCTACAATACTGCACACGCGGTCTAAGATACAGCACACGCGGTCTAAGATACAGCACACGGGGTCTAAGATACAGCACACGGGGTCTAAGATATAGCACACGGGGTCTAAGATACAGCACACCGAGTCTAAGATACAGCACACGGGGTCTAAGATACAGCACACGGGGTCTAAGATATAGCACACGGGGTCTAAGATAGAGCACACGGGGTCTAAGATACAGCACACGGGGTCTAAGATACAGCACACGGGGTCTAAGATATAGCACACGGGGTCTAAGATACAGCACACCGAGTCTAAGATACAGTGCACGGGGTCTAAAATAGAGCACACGGGGTCTAAGATACAGTAGTCTCACAGCCCAACATCATTCACATATATGAACTGGTTCTGGGCCTCCTCTAGGTCAACTCAGCCTTTAACGAGCACCTGGTGCGGTGTGTAAACATCAGAACTAGGGAGACAAAGGTGACCTGGCGTGGTGCTGGTCACCCACCCTCTCATGTTGCCGTGCCAGCCTTCGTAGGTGCCCCTCGCTAACAGCACTTGCCTCAAGTCTGTTTAAAGGCTACACAGCGGGGGATCTTTTGTCTTTTGTTTCATCGGCAGTCGCAGTGCTAACGGCGAGGATCCGGAATTACAGCGAGCACCTGGCCCAGCACCCAAGGGTGAGTGCCAGGTTTGGTTCACCGAGGTGAGAACCCACGAGGCCAGGACGGGTCTCACGTGCAGCCGACCTCGTGGCTCCATCTCCTCGGTGGACGTACGCTCCGAAGCGTTCCCTCCCCCCCCCCCCGCCTCGTTGTCCACCGTGCGTTATTTTGCCACGAGCGTTGGCCACCCAACGGCCCCTTGGTGGTGTTGCTGTGGCGCACAGCCCGGGGACGCACCGCAGGAAGACCACGCTTCACTCGTGTCTCCGAGAGGACCCAAACGTGCTTTGCGACTCGTCCGCTCACTCGTGTCTCCCGAATAAGATGAAGACTGGCCCAGCTTACTTGCTCACCCGCTCACCCACGTGTCTCCCATTTAAGATTAAACTTAAAAAGGCTCGCCCACTCGCACGCTCGCTCGCTCACCCACTTGCGCCTCCAGAATAAGATGAAGCATCACGACTCGCCCGCATACCTCCTTGCTCGTCCAATCGCTTGCTCCCCCACTCGCTCGCTCACCCACTCGCGTCTCTGTCTCCATGATAACATGGAAGCTTCACGACTCGCCAGCTCACCTACTCGCCCGCCCGCCCACCCGTGTGTGCGTGTCTCCAGGACAAGACCAACAAGCGCTACATGCTCATGGCGTCCGACAGACGCAAGAAGCTGCTCAAGTACCTGCGGCGGACGCGCTACGATCGCTTCGAGCACACGTGCACGGCGCTCAACATCTCGTTCCAGCTGCCACCGGCGTACCACCGGCGCGCCTCGCACCGCTGGGTCGCCAAGAAAGCGCTCGTCGTGAGGGTGAGGAGGGCCCGACCGCCGCGGCTTTTCACGCCGACTGAATCGGGATCTTTATCTAAACCAGAATCTCTATGCTGGAGAAATCCGATGACATGAAGCTCTTTTGTCATGTAGATGTCCCGTAGTTTCACTCCCATCCGTCGCCACCTGTACGGGGATGGAGCGTTGCCCACCCCCGCACGTGCGGTGGGTTCTCTACGGGTGCACCCGGTTTCCTTCCATTTGCGTAGTAACTGAAAACATCTGAACATGTAGAGGACCGCAGAGCGGGAACAATTGTTGGTGCCAGCTGACCGCCCGGTTTGCTGCCTTCCAGCTTGACTCGTTCCGAGGAAGACATCGTGTACAGACTCTGCGACTCCTTTCCAGTTGCTCAGAGCAACGCGACTTGACACTCAAAAAATTTATTAATTTCGGATCTTTACAATTAGCGCAGTTCGCTACGTACGGTGCGAAAGAAATTCAACACACATGCAATGGACAGGGCCGATCTGTTCACGCTTTCAGTGATTTTAATTGAACCTCGCACACGTGTTGCCAACGTGTCATCACCCTCACACGCGCACGAGGGTGACGGCACACGTGTCGTCACCCTCACACGTGCACCAGGGTGACGGCACACGTGTCGTCACCCTCACACGCGTACCAGGGTGACGGCACACGTGTCGTCACCCTCACACGCGTACCAGGGTGACGGCACACGTGTCGACGAACACAGCGCGTGCCGTTTCACGACTCGCCTGATTTCCCGACCCCCCCCCCCTCACCCCCCGCAGGTGCGTCAGCTTGTTAACGAGCGGCGCTACCGGGCCCGCCAGGAGGCCCGCGCACAGGCGGAGCAGGCGGTGCAGGCGGTGCAGGCGGTACAGGCGGCTCCCCCGTGTGAAGGGAGCGGCTGAGAGCTCTGCTGCCGGTGCTCGCACGTCCCGGTGTCCCCACTCTCGTCTCACGCGCTCCCCTCTACTCGGAGACCCACAGACTCGCGCAGAGACCCACAGACTCACGCAGAGACCTACAGACTCAGGTAGAGACCCACAGACTCACGTAGAGACCCAGAGACCCACGTATAGACCCATGTAGAGACCCACAGACCCACGTAAAGACCCACACTCGCGCAGAGACCCACAGACTCACGCAGAGACCTACAGACTCACGTAGAGACCCATGTAGAGACCCACGTAAAGACCCACACTCGCGCAGAGACCCACAGACTCACGCAGAGACACACAGACTCACGTAGAGACCCACAGACCCACGTAGAGACCCACAGACCCACGTAGAGACCCACAGACTCACGCAGAGACCCACGTAGAGACCCACAGACTCGCGTAGAGACCCACAGACTCACGCAGAGACCCACAGACTCACGCAGAGACCCACGTAGAGACCCACAGACTCGCGTAGAGACCCACAGACTCACACAGAGACCCACAGACTCACACAGAGACCCACAGACTCACACAGAGACCCACAGACTCACGTAGAGACCCACAGACTCACTTAGTGACCCACAGACTCACGTAGAGACCCACAGACCCACGTAGAGACCCACAGACCCACGTAGAGACCCACACTCGCATAGAGACCCACAGACTCACACAGAGACCCAGAGACTCACGTAGAGACCCACAGACTCACGTAGAGGCCCACAGACTCACGTAGAGACCCACAGACTCACGTAGAGACCCACAGACTCACGTAGAGACCCACAGACTCACGTAGAGACCCACAGACTCACGTAGAGACCCACAGACTCGCGTAGAGACCCACGTAGAGACCCACAGACTCACGTAGAGACCCACAGACTCACGTAGAGACCCACACTCCAATAACGAGGCCCGCTGCTCTGACTCCCTCCCCCGCCTGTGTGCGTCTCGTCTCCCGTGGCGTCTCGTCTCCCGTGGCGTCTCATCTCTCCCGTGGCGTCTCATCTCTCTCGTGGCGTCTCATCTCTCCCGTGGCGTCTCGTCTCTCCCGTGGCGTCTCATCTCTCTCGCGGCGTCTCGTCTCTCCCGTGGCGTCTCATCTCTCCCGTGGCGTCTCGTCTCTCTCGCGGCTTGTCCCGTGGCATTGCGCAATAAAATAATTGCTCGATTCTTCCCGTTCGACTCGAGAGGCGATGTCGCGCCCTGCTGCTGCTGCTGCTGCACGGATGTCCGGCGTCGGAGTTCCAAGTCCCCGGAACGTTTGGGGGGTGGGGGGGGTTGGCGGGGGTTGACGGCAGCCTTCAGCCAGCAGTGGATTGACTGTGACGGGGGAATTTGTCCACTTGTCGGTTGGCGATCGTCACCGGCAGTGCGGGTTTACCGTGAGTCGGTGCCGCAGTGCCGGTGGAGTGGAGGAGCAGGTGTGGCCACTGTGGGCAGAGGCGGTTGCGGGGGTGGCAAGCGATGAGTGAGCTAGCGGGAGCGTGCAGCTTCAAGAGAGAGGCTCACTGACACCGTGACATGAAAGGGAGCTCTGTGGGCAAGAGACGGATGAGAGAGATCGGAGATAAACAGGCGATGATGTCCGAAGGTGAGAGATACACGGGAGAGGAGAGCTGCGGGCAAGAGATTGGAGAATCGAGGGATGGAGACGGGCACTGGAGGTTCGCGGCAGTCGCGTGCGCTCGTGTTGCGACGTCGTGACGCCAAATTCGTTGCGCGCCCATCGGGAACCGGAGTTGACGAACCCCCAGCAGCGTCGCCGCGACCTCGAGGTCATCGCCACGCAAAGCGCGGGGCCGACCCGGTGACCCCGCCGACTCCCGGCATGATTAGAGCTGCACGACGCGTTTGAGCTGCGAGCGCCCGGCCTGCACCGCGGTCATCGCCTCCACCGCTTGGCCAAGGCCCTCCGCGCGGTGCATGAACGGCCTGCCGGACGGGAGACGGAGCGAGTGTGGTTACGCCGTGGTGAGTGTGGTTACGTCGTGGTGTGCGTGGTTACGCCGTGGTGAGCGTGGTTACGCCGTGGTGAGCGTGGTTACGCCGTGGTGAGCGTGGTTACGCCGTGGTGTGCGTGGTTACGCCGTGGTGAGCGTGGTTACGCCGTGGTGAGCGTGGTTACGCCGTGGTGAGCGTGGTTACGCCGTGGTGAGCGTGGTTACGCCGTGGTGAGCGTGGTTACGCCGTGGTGAGCGTGGTTACGCCGTGGTGAGCGTGGTTACGCCGTGGTGAGCGCGGTTACGCCGTGGTGAGCGCGGTTACGCCGTGGTGAGCGCGGTTACGCCGTGGTGAGCGCGGTTACGCCGTGGTGAGCGCGGTTACGCCGTGGTGAGTGTGGTTACGCCGTGCTGTGCTTGGTGACTGTGTGGGTTACATGGTGTGCGTGGTTACACTTTGTGGTGTGCGTGGAGACACTGTCATGTGGTGACTGACACTCGTGCCCTATCAGCCACACCCGATTGTGCAGGTGGTCAAACTGCACCGGACCCATAGGCCAGAGGGGCCGAGGCTCTGAGCTACGGACAGGAGGGAGATATTCTGAGCAAAGGCCCCATTTCATTCCATGAACCTGGGCCCATGCCAACCATGCGTTGACACTGAGACACTGAGACCCATAGACCCGCATAGAGACCCGCGTAGAGACCCGCGTAGAGACCCGCGTAGAGACCCGCGTAGAGACCCGCGTAGAGACCCGCAGGCTCGCAAAGTGGCCTGTAGGCTCACACCGAGACCCGTAGGCTCACAGTTGGGGTTAGTGTCGTGCGCCGTGTGGGTCACCTGAACACGCCAGCCGAGAGCTTCTCCATGACGTCGCGCAAGCCGTCTGAGCGGGCGTGTTAAGGATGCTTCCGCTGCCCCTGTGTGCACGGGGGGGGGGGGGGGGGGCGTTGTTCGGCTGGCACTACCGCCTGCGCCCGCTCTCTTCGCCCCTCGGAAGCTAAGCGGGGCTGAGCCCGGACGGTCCTCGGATGGGCGACCACTGCATGCAACGGGTGCGGTGGGCTGCTGCTGCTGCGGGGGGCTACGTTGTCAGCAGAGGGCAGTGCAGCTGAATCCGTGGCTGTATTCTCCCCACCACCAACCCAACTGGCCAGCACGGTGAAGTATGGTCATTTAGCGGCCCCGAAAACCCCTGCGCGGCGTGGGGGGAGGAGGCCCACGTCCAGCGGCACACGGGAGGGCGAGCGGCCCCGGTGCTGCGGTTGCGGTGCCGCGGGTGCATTCGCCCGCGTAAAGGATACGCAGGTGCCGCCCCCGGCGAGTCGGGGAGAGGCTCCACAGCTCCTCGTTGAGGAACCGAACGCTGGCGCCCTTCAGCTGCAGCAGGGCGCAGTCGGGGGGGTCCAGCTGCCGAGAGAGAGCCTTGCGTGACGAGCGCGGGGACACGCGAGGGGCCGCAAGCGAGGGTCCGCAAGCGAGGGGCCGCAAGCGAGGGGCCGCAAGCGAGGGGCCGCAAGCGAGGGGCCGCAAGCGAGGGGACGCGCGGCCTCGCGCGTCCACCCCCCCCCCCCGTGCTTATAAACGGCGGCCTGCAAACGGCGCGCGTCCGTCAAGCTGCCGAGCCACGCCAATTGGGCGCCAGAGGGGGGCTCTACTTGCGCGCCGGCCCGTGAGAGAGGATCGGCTGTACCTGCAGCAGCTCGTGGGTGGTGACCCACTGGCCGGCGACGGCGAGGGCGCTGAGCAGGTCGTGCTTGCGCGGCGAGCCGGGCGCGGGCGGCGCCCCCCCGGTGCTGCTCGCTCGCACTGCCGCCGGGGGCGTTAGCAGCGTCGACTGTGGAGCGTGGATGGCGCAGCGTCGAATGTCTGCGCAGCCTGGATAGTGCAGCGAGTCTCCAAGAGCAACGCCCCTCTGCACCGGTGTATGGTTCGTGTCGATCACCTCTACGAGAGCGATCGTGACCCCCGCGTCGCACGGGCGGACGCTCGGTGCCGACACGATAACGACGGGCGCCACGGTGGCCGTGAGATGTTGACTCCCTCGCCTGGTATACAGGAGGTGGTGGGTTCGATCCCGACCCTGACGCCTGCTGTAGATTTTGAGTTTGCATGTCTCTCTGTCTCCATGGTCACATTTAGAATCAACGAGCACTTAGATTGTGTTTCGCTGCTGTGCATTCCCACGTGATGAGCCACTTTGTTCCAGCTATCATTCGTGGCCAGGTCGCTGGTGAAAAAGAGCTGCATAGCTCGGTGGGCTTTACATGTGTCATGACAACAGAGCCTGCATGCGGTGCGAGGGGACTAGTGGCCACGGGAGTTAATGACAGGGGAGTCAGCATGCGGTGCGAGTGGACTAGTGGCCACGGGAGTGTAATGACAGGGGAGTCAGCATGCGGTGCGAGGGGACTAGTGGCCACAGGAGTTAATGACAGGGGAGTCAGCATGCGGTGCGAGGGGACTAGTGGCCACGGGAGTTAATGACAGGGGAGTTAGCCTGCATGCGGTGCGAGGGGACTAGTGGCCACGGGAGGTAATGACAGGGGAGTCAGCCTGCATGCGGTGCGAGGGGACTAGTGGCCACGGGAGGTAATGACAGGGGAGTCAGCCTGCAGTGCGAAGGGACTAGTGGCCACGGGAGGTAATGACAGGGGAGTCAGCCTGCAGTGCGAAGGGACTAGTGGCCACGGGAGGTAATGACGGGTATCAGCTGTGAGTACGAAGGGACTGGTGGCTACGGGATCGAAAAGGGAGCGTGGTCAGGTGACGGAAGAGGACGGTGGAGTCTGCCGGTGGAGCGAGCGCCCAGAGTCGGCGAGAAGGTTCGGGAATGGGGGCGTGGCCTCGGTCGGTATATAAGGGGGAGATGCGCGGGAGACTCAGGGCTGTTGCAGTGGGGGTCTCCGCCTGATGTCAAGTGAACGTGTCTTCAATAAAGTGCCATCTCAAGAGAAGCGCGTCAAGTCGTCACTACACAAGTTGTCATTACCTCCAGCGGTATATAAGGGGGAGATGCGCGGGAGACTCAGGGCTGTTGCAGTGGGGGTCTCCGCCTGATGTCAAGTGAACGTGTCTTCAATAAAGTGCCATCTCAAGAGAAGCGCGTCAAGTCGTCACTACACAAGTTGTCATTACCTCCAGCGGTATATAAGGGGGAGATGCGCGGGAGACTCAGGGCTGTTGCAGTGGGGGTCTCCGCCTGATGTCAAGTGAACGTGTCTTTAATAAAGTGCCATCTCAAGAGAAGCGCGTCAAGTCGTCACTACACAAGTTGTCATTACCTCCAGCGGTATATAAGGGGGAGATGCGCGGGAGACTCAGGGCTGTTGCAGTGGGGGTCTCCGCCTGATGTCAAGTGAACGTGTCTTCAATAAAGTGCCATCTCAAGAGAAGTGCGTCAAGTCGTCACAACACAAGTTGTCATTACCTCCAGCGTCCACCACGAGGTCGACTCCGAGCCCCCCCGTCTCCTCCAGGCAGCTCGCCACGAGGTTGCCGCCTCCCACGCCCAGCTCCACCACCCGTGCTGCGCACACGGCAACGCGAGAGCATCCCTCTGTGTGTGTGCCGCTTTGTGTGTGCGTTGTGCACGAGGTGTGTGCGTGCACCAGGTGCGTGCGTGTACCCCAGGTGTATGTGTGCACCAGGTGCGTGCGTGTACCCCAGGTGTGTGTGTACACCAGGTGTGTGTGTACACCAGGTGTGTGCGTGTGCACTGTGTGTGCGTGTGCACCAGGTGTGTGCGTGTGCACTGTGTGTGCGTGTGCACCAGGTGTGTGCGTGTGCACCAGGTGTGTGCGTGTGCACCAGGTGTGTGTGCACATCGTAGTGCTGTGCAGCGCTGTGTGTGCGTATGCAGGTGTGGCGTGTGTACTGTGCTAAGTCCACAGGTGTGGTGTGTGTACGCAGGTGTGGCGTGCGTGCTGTGTGTACACAGGTGTGGTGTCTGCTGCGCTGTGTCCGCTGGGGAGTGCCGGGTCGTGCCCTCTTACCAGATTGTGGCCACAGTTGGTCCAGGGTCTCTCTGTCCACTCCAGGGCCCACGGCTGCCACCACCTTTGCCCCACGATGCTGAGCCAACTGGCAGATCGCCACGCCCACGGACTGCACAACCACAACAATACGCAGTAGGCTGCTGCTGATGGCAGCGCATGGGTGACAATCGGGACTCAAAAGCAACAAGCGCCTTGGTTTGATTCTAGACTCAGGTGTTCTCTCCCCCTGTTCTCCCCCTGTTGTGCAGCGGGCGAGTGGAGTTTGTCTGCTCTCTCTGCTCCTGTTCTGCATGTGTGCCCTCGGAGTTCTCCAGTTTCCACCCTTAGCTGAACAAAGCACAAACTGCAACTGGTATGGGAGTAGTGAGCCGCGTCTGGGACACGACCCCCTATGCCTGATGCAGTGGCAAACGACAGCGGCTGTTGTTATTGCCATTGGGTATGGTTGTTGCGCTTTGCGTGTTGCTGTTGCACCACGGGTGTCGTTGTGTGTGAGCACGTGTGCGAGCGTGTGTGCGTGTACGCTCGTGTGTGCGCGCGTGTGTGTGTGCGCGCGTTCGCGTGAGTGGGTGTGTGCATGTACGCTCGTGTGTGCGCGCGTCTGTGCGTGCGCCCGTGTGAGCGTGCGTGCATACGTGTACGCGTGCGTGCGTGTGTGCGCGCGTGTGTGCGCGCGTGTATGTGCGTATGTGTGGGTGTGCAACGGAGGGCGGAGGAGCGACGCTCACAACATCGAGCGGGGCGCCGGGTGGCTAAAGCACAGCAGGTTGGCACAGTAGGGGGCACAGGTGGTGCATCAGCCAGTCATCTCAGTCATCTCAGTCAGTCGACCCGTGGCACCTGGGTCTGCCCCGTGACCTCCTGCCAGCGGGCGTTCGACACTCCACGTGGCCTCAAGGTGCACATGTCCTGGCACAAGCGTCGTGGTGACGTCACCGCCACTTAGTGGTACGTGCGCCCGTGTGAGCGTGCGTGCGTGTGTGCGTGTGTGCGTGCGCCCGTCTGAGCGTGTGTGCGTGTGTGTGTGCGTGTGTGCATGTGTGTGCGTGTGAGCGTGCGTGTGAGCGTGCGTGTGCGTGTGAGCGTGTGTGCGTGTGTGTGTGTGCGCGTGCGAGGCTCTCACGGTCGCCGCGTCCGTCACGAGCACGGCCGCTCCGGCTCCGGCGAGGCCTTGCAGCGCCGCTGTGGCCACCATGCCGTCCCGCACGCACGCAGCGGCCTCCACGCAGTCCACGCCGCTCGGCCTCAACACTGGGGGGGGGGGCGTCACTGCGGAGTCCACGAGCCGTTTCGTAAAGGCGCAGCCCCGCAATCGTATGCTGGCGCCGCCCGCTGACGACAAGGGAATTCCACGAGCCGCTCTGAAAAAACTTTTTATTTTTTATTTTACCAGGTAAGGCCCAATGAGCCGTGTAGCTCTTTGTTCAGAAGCGACCTGGTCACAAATGATAGCTCAACGAAGAAGTGGCTTATCACGTGGAAATGTATAGCAGCCAAACACTCGCAACTCGTGATGTTGGTTTTAAATGTGAAGGGAAAAACCGGAGGACCCGGAGAAAAATCCACGCGACCACAGTGGGAGAGAGAGAGAGACACTGCAAACTCCAAATATACAGCAGCGGCAGGCGTCAGGGTCGGTATCGAACCCACGACCTCCCGCGTACCAGGTGAGGTAGTTAACATCTCGCCACAGCAGCGCTCCAGTCTCACCCAGGCAGTGCTCGTGCACGGTGACGCGGGGAGCCAGGCCAGACTCCGTGCAGTCGAGCGGCAGGATTCCTGTAACGGCAGTGATGTGAGAGCGCGCTCTGCACTGCGGCAGTGTAGCGGGTAGCGCACCGTACGATAAACCCGGTGACCCCGAGTTCAATTTCTGCTCGTGGCCAGCATCGGTAGCAAATGCCTGAACTGATCCTCGGCTCATTATTCGACTTAAATTATGGCTTGGTGCGGTGTATAAACATCAGTACTAGGAAGCCAATGGGGGCCACGCATGGCGCTGTATTTGTGCGTGTGTGCATGTGAGTACGTGAGTGTGCGAGCACGTGTGCGATTGTCTGAGAGCGCTAGTGTATGCGAGTATGTGAGTGTGCGAGTGAGTGTATGTGTCAGTGCGAGTATGCGAGTGTGCATGCGCGTGCGAGCGTGTGAGTGAGCGAGCGTGTGAGCGAGCGAGCGAGTGAGCGAGCGTGCGAGTGTGTGTGAGCTTGTGTGTGTGAGCAAGCAAGTGTGTGCGAGCGTGTGTGCAAGCGAGTGTGTGAGTGAGCGTGTGTGAGTGAGCGAGTGTGTGTGAGCGTTTGTGATCGAGCGAGTGTATGCGTGAGCGTGTGAGCAAGTGAGCGTGCGAGCGCGCGAGAGGTATCGAGCGAGGGCCTCCTTACCCACGACTTCATCGCCGGGCTTGAAGAACGTCACCAGCGCTCCGACTGTAAACACAACCACAACAACGAGCACGACATGCGGCATCACCACGCGGACATCCCCGCGAACCCCCCCCACCTCCCACCACGCTGGGTCTGCCAAGGCAGCAATCACAATTGGCGAACCAGAATTAGTCAACTGGGATCAGTCCCCTTATCGGCATGGCTGATGTCGTTGAAGTGGCCAATGAGCCAGATAATTGCGCCCGGAGTAGCGAAGTGGTGCACCATCGCTGCCACGGTGCCTCCTCCTTCACATTCGTGAATCGGGCAGACCCGTCGCTTTTTTATTTCCAATTCACGCATCAAAGTGTCCGCGTCTGCCACTGACATGGTTTGGAGTGGCAGAATGACGGCAAAAACCCCACGCGGGCCTCTCTGTCGAGTGAGAAATCACAACCGAGGCCAGCAACAACCCGGCGACGAGACACCGATCAGCGATCTCCCCGCTCACCGGAGCAACAACTCAAGCCACCGCAATCAGTGAACCGGGATCAGCGGACCGGTGAGCCGCGATCGGTAATCATCGAACTGCGATCGGTGTACTGCGATGCGTGAGCTGTGATCCACACCGGCGGCCACCATCCCCGCCACCTCCCGCCCCACGGCCTGCGGGGACTGCTGCATCTTGAGCCGCGCAAGGAGCTGCAGGAGACAGCGGGGACAGCGGGAACAGCGGAGACAGCGGGGACAGCGGAGACAGCAGAGACAGCGGGGATAGTGGAGACAGCGGAGACAGCGGGGACAGCGGGGATAGCGGAGACAGTGGAGACAGCGGGGACAGCGGAGACAGCGGAGACAGTAGAGACAGCGGGGATAGCAGAGACAGCGGGGACAGCGGGGACAGCGGGGACAGTGGAGACAGCGGGGACAGCGGGGACAGCGGGGACAGCGGAGACAGCGGGGACAGCGGGGACAGCGGGGACAGCAGAGACAGCGGGGACAGCGGGGACAGCGGGGACAGTGGAGACAGCGGAGACAGCGGGGACAGCGGGGACAGCGGGGACAGCGGAGACAGCGGGGACAGCAGGGACAGCGGGGACAGCGGGGACAGCGGAGACAGCGGGGATAGCAGAGACAGCGGGGACAGTGGAGACAGCGGGGACAGCGGAGACAGCGGGGACAGCGGAGACAGCGGGGACAACGGAGACAGCGGGGACAGTGAAGACAGCGGGGACAGCGGGGACAGCGGGGACAGCGGGGACAGTGGGGACAGTGGAGACAGCGGGGACAGCGGAGACAGAGGGGACAGCGGAGACAGCGGGGACACCGGAGACAGCGGGGACAGTGAAGACAGCAGGGACAGTGGGGACAGCGGAGACAGTGGAGACAGCGGGGACAGTGGAGACAGCGGGGACAGCGGGGACAGCGGGGACAGTGGGGACAGTGGAGACAGTGGAGACAGTGGGGACAGTGGAGACAGTGGGGACAGTGGAGACAGTGGAGACAGTGGAGACAGCGGAGACAGTGGGGACAGCGGAGACAGCGGAGACAGTGGGGACAGCGGGGACAGTGGGGACAGTGGAGACAGCGTCAGGCTCGGCATTGCGTGATGCGATGGAGGATGGGGCTGGCACCTCCGAGGCACAAAAAACTGGGACACGTCACAGGAGGAAGTATGTACAGTACGTTGAACTTCTTTTGCACTGTACTTAGCAAACCGGGCTCACCGGAGGTGTGGGGGAAGGACAACAAACTAAACACAAAAAGCAGTTCTCAAGAAATTAGTTGTCAATCAAGATTATTTAAAAGTGCATATATCCCGTGGCTTCTTAATATCGGAAGAGCGTTTCAGACGGCCACAGAATCGCATCTGAAAGCGCGCGATGCATCGACCACCGTCGATGTTTGATGGCTGAGCCAGAAGCCGCTGCTGCTGCTGCTGCTGCTAGGATGACCGGAGTTTGTGTGATGATGGTTTACGCTCCTGGACGAGATCAGCGAGGTACTGTGGTTCATTTGTGGCAAGCACTTTGCGTGTAACATAGAAGATCTCACAATACCAGAAGCGGGACGTGCTGCGTGTGAACGCATCGTCCGGAGTGGTGCATCGTCACCGTTGCTATAATTGTGCAGTTGACAGCGACTGGGACTTGTGATGCCCCGGGTAGAGTGACAGATTTACCAGGATGGCCTCGGCCTGCCTCACTCAACAAGAGGACGATCCTGGAGAAACGGGTGGCAACCCATGTGTACGGGAGGTCGCCATAGGAATGTCTCGATGTCAGAATCAGAAATGTATCTCCCGAGAAAAGCCCGTTGAGCCGAGAAGCTCTTTTTCAAGGGCAACTCGAACGGGATTAAAAAAAAAACCGTAATACTGTAATAGCAATCATGTTGTAAAATAAAATTCACACTAAAATAAAATAAATCACGACGTTTCGGGCGCAACACAAGCGTCCATCATCATCTACGGGCAGCAGCAGCAGTGTCAATGATGATAGCCCTGAAGTGAAAATGCCTTCTCATGTCCAAGGACAACTGCCCCGGCGATGGTCTCACCGCGCACGGCACGGGGCTGAGGCCGCACGCCTTCACGGCGACGACCACCGCATGGTTGTCCACCTCTCGCGATCCAGGGGTCGACTTTCCCACCACCTCCTCCTCCTCCACCTCCTCCTCCTGCTCCTTGCCGTGCAGGAAGAACCGCGGTCGATCGCCCGTGGCGTCCATGAAGAGGCCCCCCATGACGGGAGCCGTAGACGGGAGGAGGGAAGGGCGGCCGATAGCCCCGTCCGGAGAGAGGTGGAGATGAAGTCGACGACTTCTGGTGGAACGTGGGGGGAAGGGATGAGAGTCGACAAAGATCCCCCGTATAGCCTACAACAGACTTGGGCCGCCGCGGTGGCTAGGAGATGTTAACTACCTCGCCTGGTATGCAGTAGGTTGTGGGTTCCATCCCTAACCATGACGCCTGCTGTATATTTAGAGTTTGCATGTCTCTCTCTCTCTCCATGGTCACTCGTATTTTTCTCCGGCTCCTCTGGGTTTTTCCCTTCACATTTAGAATCAACGAGCACTTAGATTGTGTTTCGCTGCTGTGCATTCCCACGTTATGAGCCACTTCGTTCCAGCTATCATTTCTGGCCAGGTCGCTGATGAAAAAGAGCTGGATAGCTCGGTGGGCTTTACATGTGTCATGACAATAGAGCCTGCATGCAGTGCGAGTGGACTAGTGGCCACGGGAGGTAATGACAGGGGAGTCAGCCTGCATGCGGTGTGAGTGGACTAGTGGCCGCGGTAGGTAATGACAGGGGAGTCAGCATGCGGTGCGAGTGGACTAGTGGCCACGGGAGGTAATGACAGGGGAGTCAGCATGCGGTGCAAGTGGACTAGTGGCCACGGGAGTGTAATGACAGGGGAGTCAGCATGCGGTGCGAGTAGACTAGTGCCCACGGGAGTGTAATGACAGGGGAGTCAGCATGCGGTGCGAGTGGACTAGTGGCCACGGGAGGTAATGACAGGGGAGTCAGCATGCGGTGCGAGTGGACTAGTGGCCACGGGAGGTAATGACAGGGGAGTCAGCATGCAGTGCGAGTGGACTAGTGGCCACGGGAGGTAATGACAGGGGAGTCAGCTGTGAGTACGAAGGGACTGATGGCTATGGGAATGATTGAGAAGGGAGCGTGGTCAGGTGACGGAAGAGGACAGTGGAGTCTGCCGGTCGGTACGTTCTGTCTCAGAAGCCAGGCCGCTTCTGAAAAAGTTATGTAGCTCAGTGGGCCTTACCTGGTAAAAATAAAAAAAATGGTTAATAGTCGGTAAGTGTTGTTAGCGAGTAACCTATGAAGGATGGCATGGCACACGAGGGAGGGAGTGGGTGGCATGCACCACGCCCGGCCGCCTTTGTTTCCCTAGTTCTGATGTTTACACACCGCATCAGCTGCTCGTTTAAAGCTGAGTTGACCTAGAGGAGGCCCAGCACCAGTCCACTAAATTCGTCACCGATGTGACCGAGAGCGGGAAACGAACTGGTGTCACCAGGTTCGTAGCGCAGCGCTCCAACCACACGCACACACTACCACCACCATACACTACTCATCACTATCAGCCATGATCCATCCACCGCTGAATGAAGATCTGCCAAGCCACATTGCCATCACGGGTCACCATCCATGACCACAGCCACAATTGCCAACTGGCTGTGCGAGGCCCAGGAGCCCTGGATTTGATTGCGAGCGACGCTCACAGCAACGAGCGGAGCACCGGGTCGCTAAAACGCAGTGAGGTGGCACAGTGAGGAGCACATGTGGTGCATCTGGCAGTCATCTCAGTCAGTCAACCCATGGCACCTGGGTCTGTCCCGTGACCTCCTGCCAGGGAGCCTTCCACACTTCACGTGACGCCCTCAAAGTGCACCTAGCCTGGCACAAGTGCTGCGGTTACGTCGCCACCACGAAGTGGCGAACGGCTACTGTTGTTGAATTCCCGAGATATCAGATGCCCACTGTGCCAACTATGGGGGGAGGGGGGTGGGGAGTAGCCAGTCCTCCTCCTGCACCTAGCCTGGCACAGCAGTCAATCCATGTCACCTGGGTATGCCTCGTGACCTCCTCCTGCACCTAGCCTGGCACAGCAGTCAATCCATGTCACCTGGGTATGCCTCGTGACCTCCTCCTGCACCTAGCCTGGCACAGCAGTCAACCCATGTCACCTGGGTATGCCCCGTGACCCTCCTGCACCTAGCCTGGCACAGCAGTCAACCCATGTCACCTGGGTATGCCCCGTGACCTCCTCCTGCACCTAGCCTGGCACAGCAGTCAACCCATGGCACCTGGGTATGCCCCGTGACCTCCTCCTGCACCTAGCCTGGCACAGCAATCAACCCATGGCACCTGGGTATGACCCGTGACCCTCCTGCACCTAGCCTGGCACAGCAGTCAACCCATGTCACCTGGGTATGCCTCGTGACCTACTGCTGCACCTAGCCTGGCACAGCAGTCAACCCATGTCACCTGGGTATGCCTCGTGACCTACTGCTGCACCTAGCCTGGCACAGCAGTCAACCCATGTCACCTGGGTATGCCTCGTGACCTACTGCTGCACCTAGCCTGGCATAGCAGTCAACCCATGTCACCTGGGTATGCCTCGTGACCTACTGCTGCACCTAGCCTGGCACAGCAGTCAACCCATGTCACCTGGGTATGCCTCGTGACCTACTGCTGCACCTAGCCTGGCATAGCAGTCAACCCATGTCACCTGGGTATGTCCCGTGACCTCCTCCCGCCAGCAGAACGCAGCGATGCCCACGTGACGCGCCCTGCTCCGAGTGCACCCAACCTGGCACGGGTCACGTGCTGAAACGGCGACTCAGACCACGGGGTAAGTCGTAAAGCAGCGCCGTAAAGTGTCGTGAACAGCAAACCAGGGGAGTGTCGTGAAGCCGTCATGTGTTTGTATGTCGTAAAGCTCACCCCGTATGCCGTAAAGGTCGATCCCCGTATGTCGTAAAGCTCGTACCGTATGTCGTAAAGTTGCGTGAGGCAACCAGATACAGTGGTGGGCCGTGCCGTAAAGTGTAAGGCGAACTCGGAAATGTTTTAATTTTTACTTTCAGTACAAATTGAGTTTGAGTAAAACACGTTTTATTTACTGAAGGGCTTTGTCTGCTTCAATGGCCACTATTAGTTTAACAATTGACGTGCCAGAAAAACATTGTGGAAGTATTCTTATAAGGCCCCATTGCGTAAACAAGTGCAGGTCACAACTCTTATTATATCCACTGTCTCTCTCCGCGCTGTGAAGAAGGGCCATTGCCCGAAACGTCGCCTTCTGTTGACTTCCGAGGTCACGCAGCGCAGCTGACAGAAGGGGCCGTAAAGCGTAGAGAGGGAGTGTCGTGAAGTGTCGTGAAGTGCTTGTCGCTGTCTCCGCCCATTGGCCGAGCTCCGCGCGCGCGTTGCGCGAGACGCGGAGACGCAGAGAGTGAGACACGGAGACACGGAGACACACGGGGAGACACACAGGGAGACACACAGGGAGACACACAGGGAGACACAGGGAGATGCAGGGAGACACTGATAGACATAGAGACAGAGAGTGAGACAGGGAGACAGAGTGAGACAGGGAGACAGAGAGTGAGACACGGAGACACAGGGAGACACAGGGAGACACTGATAGACATAGAGACACTGATAGACATAGAGACACTGATAGACATAGAGACAGAGAGTGAGACAGGGAGACACAGGGAGACACACAGGGAGACATAGAGACAGAGTGAGACAGGGACAGAGACAGATAGGGAGACACAGATAGACATAGAGACAGAGACACAGAGAGTGAGACGCGGAGACGCAGAGAGTGAGACACGGAGACGCACAGGGAGACACAGTGACACAGAGAGACACAGTGACACAGACAGATAGACAGGGAGACAGAGACAGATAGATAGGGAGACAGAGAGTGAGACAGGGAGACAGAGAGACAGGGACAGAGATAGACAGGGAGACACAGAGAGTGAGACACAGAGACAGGGAGACATACAGAGACACAGTGAGACACAGAGATAGAGACACAGAGACGCAGGGAGTGAGACAGGGAGACACGGACACAGATAGACAGGGAGATAGAGAGTGAGACGGAGACAGAGAGAAAGACAGGGACAGAGAGACAGGGAGACACAGAGAGAGAGTCAGACACAGATAGACAGGGAGACAAAGAGACACAGGGAGACAGAGACGCAGAGATAGACAGGGAGACACAGGGAGAGACAGAGATAGAGAGACAGAGATAGACACAGATTGAGACAGAGATTGACAGGGAGACACAGCGAGACACAGAGACAGAGATAGACAGGGAGACACAGAGCTTGAGACAGGGAGACAGAGAGACACAGAGAGATAGACACCGAGACAGAGACTCTCAAGAGACACGGAAATCCTCCTGAGGGCGGCTCCCGCGCCGCCTCCACCCCTCAGCCCTCGCCTCAACCCCTCAGTTGCAGCCTCATCCCAAACTCAGCCCAAGCCTCAGCCTCATCCCAAACTCAGCAGCCTCAGCCCAAGCCTCATCCCAAACTCAACAGCTTCAGCCTCATCCCAAACTCAGCAGCTTCAGCCTCAGCCTCATCCCAAACTCAGCAGCTTCAGCCCAAGTCTCATCCCAAGCCTCATCCCAAACTCAGCAGCTTCAGCCGCAGCCTCATCCCAAACTCAGTAGCTTCAGCCCAAGCCTCATCCCAAACTCAGTAGCTTCAGCCTCTGACTCATCCCAAACTCAGCAGCTTCAGCCCAAGCCGAGATTTCAACATCGCCCGCCGCCTCCAATTCGTCTCGAGCGGAGCCCCACGCTGGAGGCCGGGCCCCGGCTCCCAACTCCGGCCTCGCCTCCCTCCCACCGCGGCGATGTCGTCGCTGGCCCCCGGGTTCGCCCCGGGTGGTGGAGGTGAGGAAGGAGGAGAGGGAGGGAGGATTGGAGGGAAGGCGGAAGGATGAGAAGGGGGGAAGGAGGAAGGGAGGGTAGAAGGAAGGATGGGGAAGGAAGGGTGTGAATGAGGAAGGGAGTTAAGGCGACTCTTGCTCAAGGCCGGCCCCTGTTGCTTTCGTTCCTGGCCGGGCTCCCTCCTCGCGGGGCAAGCGGCGATAGAGGGGGGACGGCGAGGTGGTGGCGGTGGTGGTGGTGGTGTTGGTGGTGGTGTGAAACTGTCTTAGCCGTGGGATTCCAGGCCACTGTGTGAGACTTGGAGTCTCTGTGGGCCTCTGTAAATGCATGCATCTCCGTGTGAGTCTATGATTCTCTTATATTCGTACCGTATATGGGTCTCCGTACAGTTCTATGGATGTCCGTGCGAGTATATGGTTGTTGTGTGTGAGTCTCGGGGTGTATCTCTGAATCTGCGAGTCTATGCCAGTCTACAGGGTGTGTGTGGTGTGATGAGTGTCGTTGCGGTTTGTGGGAGTGATGTAATGCGTCTCTGTGGGGTGATGCGTGTCCTGTATGGTGGGGTGTGTCGTGTGGTGACACCTGCCTCTAGGGTGGTGTGTGTCGTGTGGTGACACCTGCCTCTAGGGTGGTGTGTGTCGTGCGGTGACACCTGCCTCTAGGGTGGTGTGTGTCGTGTGGTGACACCTGCCTCTCGGGTGGTGTGTGTCGTGTGGTGAGACCTGCCTCTAGGGTGGTGTGTGTCGTGTGGTGACACCTGCCTCTAGGGTGGTGTGTGTCGTGCGGTGAGACCTGCCTCTAGGGTGGTGTGTGTCGTGCGGTGAGACCTGCCTCTAAGGTGGTGTGTGTCGTGCGGTGAGACCTGCCTCTAGGGTGGTGTGTGTCGTGTGGTGACACCTGCCTCTAGGGTGGTGTGTGTCGTGTGGTGACACCTGCCTCTAGGGTGGTGTGTGTCGTGTGGTGACACCTGCCTCTAGGGTGGTGTGTGTCGAGCGGGGAGACCTGCCTCTAGGGTGGTGTGTGTCGTGCGGTGAGACCTGCCTCTAGGGTGGTGTGTGTCATGGAGTGACACCTGCCACTAGGGTGGTGTGTGTCGTGCGGTGACACCTGCCTCTAGGGTGGGGTGTGTTCTGTGGCCAGTGCCCTACAGTATTATGCTTGCTATGGTGTGGTGTGTGATGTGTGTTGTGGGTTTTGCTCTGGTGTGTTCTGTGGTGTGTGTGCTCTGCTGTGTACTCTGTGTTTTTGCTGTGTGGTGTATAATGTGGTGTGTGTGCGCTGCTGTATACCCTGTGTTGTGATGTGTGGTGTATAATGTGGTGTGTGTGCTCTGCTGTGTACTCTGTGTTTTTGCTGTGTGTGCTGTGTGGTGTATAATGTGGTGTGTGTGCTCTGCTGTGTACCCTGTGTTGTGATGTGTGGTGTATAATGTGGTGTGTGTGCGCTGCTGTATACCCTGTGTTGTGCTGTATGATGTGTGGTGTATAATGTGGTGTGTGTGCTCTGCCATGTACCCTGTTATATTGTGCTGTGTGTGATGTGTGGTGTATAATTTGGTGTGTGTGCTCTGCTGTGTACCCTGTGTTGTGCTGTGTGTGATGTGTAGTGTATGATGTGGTGTTTCAAGTTTTTCAAGTTTCATTTATTAGGTATAGCCCTGTGAGCCATGCGGCTCGAGTCGGGTGCAACCGCAACAAACAAAATATGAACAGAGAAACATCTTAAAGCGACGACGCGCAACAGAAACATCCTGGATAAACCAGCAAATCTTATAGAAAAAAAACCACCGTATTACAACGCTGTGTGCAAAAATCCCAGTGTGATGCAAGACAAACAATAACAACCATGAGACAATTTAGATTCAAGTTATCAGGCCAACTCCGCACTTCCGCAAGAAACATGGCTTAACCATATGTTTTAGAAATTACCAAAATAAAGCTATCAAATACAATGTAGCAACAGTAATCATAGGAACTTTGATTCAAATTTAACAATAAACGATATACATAACATGTACGAACAAACTTGCAGCCATATCTGTCAGCATGACACTCCCCGTGTATGATGTGTGAGTGAGTCAGCGTATGATGAGTGAGTCAGTGTAAGATGTGTGAGTGAGTAAGTGTAAGATGAGTGAGTGTATCAGCGCATCCTCCACGCCATCGCGGCCTCCTCCCTGCCATCGTGGCCTCCTCCACACCATCATGGCCTCCTCCCCGCCATCGCCGCCTCCTCCACGCCATCGCGGCCTCCTTCCCGCCATCGCGGCCTCCTCCATGCCATCGCGGCCTCCTCCATGCCATCGCGGCCTCCTCCACGCCATCACGGCCTTCTCCACACCATCGCAGCCTCCTTCACGCCATCACGGCCTCCTCCACGCCATCGCGGCCTCCTCCCCGCCATCGCGGCCTCCTCCCCGCCATCGCGGCCTCCTCCACGCCATCACGGCCTCCTCCACGCCATCACGGCCTCCTCCCCTACGCCATCACGGCCTCCTCCACGCCATCGCGGCCTCCTCTCCGCCATCACGGCCTCCTCTCCGCCATCGCGGCCTTCTCCCCGCCATCGGCCTCCTCCCCGCCATCGCGGCCTCCTCCCCGCCATCACGGCCTCCTCCACACCATTACGGCCTCCTCCCCTACGCCATCGCGGCCTCCTCCAAGCCATCGCGGCCTCCTCCACGCCATCACGGCCTCCTCCACGCCATTGCGGCCTCCTCCCCTACGCCATCACGGCCTCCTCCATGCCATCACGGCGTGTGAACGCGCGGGATGGAGGAGCGGCTCAAAGACGCGGCGGAGAAAGACGACGGGGGGAGGAGGAAGGAGGAGAAAGAGAGGAAGAATGGGGAGCAGAAAGAGAGGGCGAAGAGAATGGGTCCTCTTGCCCCCCCCCCCCCGCACACACAAAGGGCCCCGTTCCCTGCCGCCTCCCCGCGCGGTCCCACCCGGCCCAGGCCGAGGGCATGAGAGGGGGTGGGGGGCGGAGTGGTGAGGGACTGAGGAGCGAGGAGGGGTTGAGGAAATGTGGAGGGTGGATGGGATGAGAGGAATAGCGGGATTGAGGGGATGAACGGAATCGCGGTTTAATGAGGTGATCGTGGGGGGGACTAAGAGTTTAGGGGTATTAAGGGGTGACGGAGATGAGGCGAATGGGGAAGTTGAGGAGATGGAGGGGATGGGATATTGGGTGGTTGGATGAGGTGGATGAGATGAGGGGGGTAAAGAGGATGCAAGACGGAACGAATGAGGGAGGTGGACATTAGGGGGCTGAGGAGACGGGGGGGGGGGGGCTGGGGGGATGATGAGGGGAGCGCTTCGCAAGGCGCTCGGACCGGCTTTGTCCCCTAGGCGTCGCGTCTTGTGTGTGCTGTTGTGCTGTGTACCCTGTGTTGTGCTGTGTGTGCTGTGTGGTGTATAATGTGGTGTGTGTGTGCTCTGCTGTGTAACCTGTGTTGTATTGTGCTGTGTGATGTGTGGTTTATAATGTGGCGTGTGCTCTGCTGTGTACCCTGTGTTGTGCTGTGCCACACAGGTGGGGCCGACTGTTGGATCGTGACTCTGGAGGAGCGGGAAAAGCACCACCATCTCTTCTACAGCCTCTCCCCAGCCGGCGGCTTCATCACAGGCACGACCTCGCTCCATCTCCACACAGCACCTGCTGTCAACATGCACCAACCTTAGCCCAGTGTTCTTCACTCACTTTCAGAGGAGGGCCACTCTGGCCGATAAGACATCATCAATGTGAGGGCCGCCACTCATTTGAAACCATTGGGGCTTTGACAGCAGCACGATGATGATGGGTGTCTTCACTTTTGTGTCTTGTCGAGGGCCGCACGTTAGGGGCTGCACGTCATCCGGAGGCGTCGGTGTGAATCTGTTCGTGATGTGAAACAGTGAAAGCCGAAGTGCCTTCATGCAGGAGTGTGAATTCTCCCCCCACCCCCACCGGGGTCACTCAGGGGTCAGAGACGCCGAGCAGAAAACACTGAGAGTTTTGGTCCAAGTCTGGGTTTCAGTCGCCACTGATTACTCCGGGTTTCCGAGGTGCCCCTGCATGTTACGAGGTTATTGAGTACAACTTTGACGTAGGACAATAGCTGATGACTTCCCCACAAAGTGGTACCGATTTTATCGACGCCCGATGAATGATGGGCTGAGACAACTCCCCAAACAGGATTTGACCTTGCCTTCCGATTGTGAGCCACTCGTTCTACCATTGAGGCACCCGAATGCAAAATCAAATTTAACGCGATGAGTTCTTGTTTTGTGCAGTCATTGGTGACCGGGCTGAGACCATCAACTCGCTACACTTGAGGATGCGGTTTAATCACAGGCGAGGGTTGAAACTTGGGATTCGATCTCAGTGGTGTTGGATTAGCGTTCATGACGTCTGGCTACGCTCTGGTGTCCTTAACCGTGTCGCTGTGTGCGTGCGGGTGCGTAGGGAGCGATGTGGTGCAGTGGTTAGCGCGCTGGGCTACGATCCCCAGCGACCTTAGTTCGACTCACGCTCACAGTGAGGATTATCTGAAGTGGTCCTGGGCCTCCCCTAGGTCGACTCAACCTCATATGAGTGCCTGGTGCGATGTCTAAACATCGACACCTCCTCGTGCGCGGTATACTGGCCTTCATAGCTGCTTTCTTGAAGCAATCGCCGCAAAAGTGTGTTCGGGCTAGACGTGGGATCTTTGTCTTTGTGTGCGCACATGTAGGGGAGCAGGCACGAGGCTTCTTTCTGCAGTCTGGACTGCCACAGCTGGTACTGGCGCAAGTTTGGTGAGTACCCTCCCTGCTCCTCACCGCGGTTCGCTGATTTACTGTCACCTGCCTTGCCGGACGGTGTGAATGTGTCCGTAGATGTCTGCATGTACAGCCCTTCGGTGTGTGGGGTCGTGTCTGGCTCGTGGCGGTGTGTGATGCTGCGCGTGGTTGTGTGTTGTTGCGTGCAGGTGTGTGTGGTGGTATGTTTGTGGTTGTGTGTGACGTGTGTCCGTGCGGCTGCTTGCGTGCGTAGGGCCCTCGCCGACGATGATCGCGACGGCCGCGTCGACCTCGTTGGCTTCTCCGTGGCGATGAAGCTCATCAAGATGGCCCTGCTGGGCCACCCACTGCCCCTCGCTGTGCCGCCCATCACGCTACACTCGCTCACCGGGCACGCCCACGGTGAGCTCGCCGCTCCTCCGCGCTCCTCGCCGCTCGTTCCTCACCGCGGGTCTTCGGTGCTCACCCCTAATTGTCGCGTGTGGTGTGGGCTCGTGAGTGGCCAGCCAGCGTGCACTTCTCCTGTCTAATGATTTTACAAGGGTCGGCAAACCCCCCCCCCGTCTTCTTTGAAGGTGTCTTGACTAACGTGGACAAGGCTGTGAGAGCATTGTACATGCACTGTGGTGATCACATGACACATACACAGTGCATGATGAGAGTCGTGCCTTGCTGCTGTCTGTGAGCAGCACACCTTGACCCACTCACCCACCCATCCACCCACCCATTCATTCACCGACTCACCAACTCGCTCACCCACTCGCCCACCCACTCACCCACTCACTCATCCGCTTACTCACCCACTCACTCGATCACGCAACTCACTCACTTGCCCGTACCTCTGCGTGCTGTTAACCCCCCTTATTCGATTTCCAGCCTGCACGTTGCGTTCTCCTGCAGCGACGGTGCTACTCATCATTGACAGGAAGTGTGGGACATGTTGGTGGTGGTGGTGTTTGTAGGGAGGACGACAGCTGCCACCCCTTCTCATCTCTCCCCCGGTGTGGCGCCGCCGTTCATGCTGCCCGGCCCAGCGCACTCCGTGCCACCCTGCGTCTCTGTGGGGGAGGGGCCGACTCACGCTCCCGCTTTCCCAGTGTCTGGTGAGAGCTCCCTCGCCCTGCTCCTGTCTGTGTGTGTGTGTGAGTGTAAATGCGTTGGGAGCGGTAGTGTAGCGGTTAGCGCTATGCTGCTGTACAAACCTGGCGACCCGAGTTCGATTCCCGCTCACGGCCAACACCAGTGACGATTATCTGAACCGGTCCTGGGCCTCCCCTAGATCGACTCAGCCTCAAATGAGTACCTGATGGCGATGTGTAAATATCGCTACTGGGGAGACAAAGGTGGCCAGGCTTGTTGCTGGCCAGCCAACACCTCCGTGTGCTGTGCCGGCCTTCATAGGTGATACTCGCTAACAGCACTCACCCCATCAGTCTGTTAAGGCTATACAGGGGGTCTTTGTCTTTGTGTGAATGTGTGAGTCTGCGTTTGTGTGAGTGTCTGTGTGTCCGTCTGCTACAGTACAGGTGTAGGGAATTCCAACAGGACCTATATCTCTCCTTTATTGACCTGGCCAAGGCCTATGATACCATCAGTAGGCTTGGGCTTTGGGTTGTTCTTCGTGCTTTTAGAGTCCCTAACTCTCTGTTCACAATCATTAAGGACCTTCATGATGGTGGGCAGGCCTGGGTAAAACTATTTGGCCGGGAGTCGGAGTCATTCCCTTTTCACCTTGGGGTGCGACAGGGATATCCTATGGCTCCCACATTATTTAACATCTTTTTCGATCACGTCGTTCGTGAAGTTTTCAATGGCTGTACCAGAGGAATTTCCATCTGGTACAGATACAATGGGAGGCTGATCGATGCCCGGGTGCAGTCAAGGGATGGCTCCCTATTGATCAACCATGTTATGTATGCTGATGATCTGGTGATTGCTGCTCACTCAGAGGAGGAGTTGGAGGCGCTGCTGCTGAACCTGGAGCGTACCACTAAGAGGTGGGGCCTTAACATCAGCCCCACCAAAACTAAGCACCTGCCTGGGTATTTGTGCCATCAAACACTCCACCCTCATAACTCTCAATTGGTGATGGAGCAGTTGTGGAAAGAGTGGAAAGTTTTCCATTCCTGGGTAGTGTGCTCATGACCAGCTCGGTTTTACAGAAGAGGTCTCACTCTGAATTAGTTGAGCAGCATTATCTTTTCATTGGCTGCGTAACACTGTGTGGAAGCTAACTGGTCTATCGCTCCACACCAAGTTTCGGGTCTTCTTGGCCATGGTCATGCCCTCCCTTCTCGTTGCTTGCGAAACGTGGACCCTCCAAATGGAATATCTTTGCCGGGTAGAAATATTAAGGCTGGCCTGCCTACAATCCATCCTGGGTTTAACCAGGTTGGATTGTGTGAGGCGTTCACAAATCCTTGAAAGATCTGGACAAAGCCCCATTGCTGAGCTTCTCCGACTATCTAGGCTGCGTTGGCTGGATCATGTAGCTCGCATGCCCAGCCACCGCATGCCTAAACAGCTTTTGTTCAGCCGGATAGAGGGGGCTAAACGGGCAGCACAGGCTAGAGAAGAGATAGAGTGATGTGGTACAGGAGAATGTGGAGCTGAGTGGACTTGCCGATGACTGGTACCAGCGGTGTCAAGATCGGTCTCTGTGGAGGAGGCTCGTGAAGGACGCTACTGGGCAGTTGGAGGCAGTCGCCCTCCAACAACAACGAAGGGCGGAAGAGCGACGCTCACAACAACGAGCGGAGCGCCGGGTGGCTAAAATACAGCAAGTTGCCACAGTAGGGGGACACAGGTGGTGCATCGGCCAGTCATCAGTCAGTCGACCCATGGCACCTGGGTCTGTCCTGTGACCTCCTGCCAGCGGGCATTCCACACTTTACGTGGCTTCAAAGGGCACATAGCCTGGCACAAGCGCCGTGGTGACGTCACCGCCACTTAGTGGCGAATAGCGGTTGTTGTTGTGTAAGCATATGAGTGTGTGATTGTCTGTGTGGGTGTGTTTCGGGCATGGTGCTGGCCACCCACCCTCTCGTGTGCCGTGCCGGCCTTCATAGGTGCGACTCCACTTGCCCCAACAGTCTGTTTAAGGCTGCTATATGGGGGATCTTTGTTTATGTGAGTGGGTTTCTGAAAGTTGTCATGGTAGGGAAGCACAGGTGGAGCCTCTGCCAGTCTTCCCAGTCAGTCAACATATGGCACCTGGATCTGACCCATGACCTGCCAACAGCGAGCCTTCCACACTTCACGTGGCCTCAAAGGGCACCTAGCCTGGCACAAGTGCCGTGGAGACATCACCGCCACTTCGTGGCGAATGGTGGCGGTTATTGTTGTGTGTTTTTCTTTGTGCGTGCGTTTGTGCGCGTTTCTCTCCGCGTGTATTCTTCCCGCGTGTATTTCTCCGCATTTCTCGGTGTTGGAACGCATTCACGTTTCGATTGTTCAGATCGTGTCATCTTAAGGGATAGAGGAAGTGTCTGCAGTGTGGATATGAACAATGGCAGAGAGGGTGTTGACAGTACGGATGGCCGGGGGGGAAGTGAGTTGCAGACCCCTAGGGGCAGCACAAGAGAACGAGTGACCTCCCAAGTGCCTCGGCCTGGTCGTGCCCGGCGCTCTGACAAGAATGCAAACCGGCATCACAATCGTCGTCAGTCATCAGCCGTGATCTATCCACTGCTCGACGAGGGCCTCCCCGAGACGTGCGTGTCGCCGGGGATTACTTTGCCGTGCTGCACGACGCCGAGCGGTGTCGGTCGGTGAAGGTGGTCGGCATGGATCCGGAAGCATAGTACAGTGCAGCAGTGGATGTGGTTGCACTGCCCACTGCTGCTTGTAGCATAGCCCCACAACAGCAGCCTACAGCAGAGGCTTTATACATGGTCACTACCACCATTATCATCGCTGTTACCACCACCATCATCATCGTCGTCACCATCATCATCGTCGTCACCACCATCATCATCGTCGTCACCACCATCATCATCGTCGTCACCACCATCGTCATCACCACCACCATCATTGTCATCACCACTATCATCATCGTCACCACCACCACCAACATGATGTTCATCATCGTCGTCATCACCTCATAATAATCATTTTTTGACACTCCACTGCCCGTCCTGTGAAGGTTTCCTGGCTTGTTAGACAAGTTGGGATTGTGGTGTGGGTTGTGGCTCAACGGACTGATTCCTCCATTGTTTGTGCCTTACGTTTTGATGGCATTTCTTAATTTGTTTATACATTTTTAGTTTTTCACTTGCTCGGCAGTAGCCACATAGAAAGGATTTGGCCCTGATGTATAACTAGCTTTTTTGCCCGTCCAAGGACGGGTGTATTTTGCAGTAAATCTGAAATTTTCAATAGAACAATTCTTCAGCTCATGATTATTCATGAGGGGGGGTTGCCCCATGTGGAGTGACGTCACCCACTAATGGTTATTGGGGAGGGGTGCGGCATGTGGAGTGACGTCACCGGCTCATGATTATTAATGAGGGGAGGGGTGTGGCATGTGGAGTGACGTCACCCGCTCATGATTATTAATGAGGGGAGGGGTGCGGCATGTGGAGTGACGTCACCCGCTAATGGTTATTGGGGAAGGGTGCGGCATGTGGAGTTATGTCACTGGCTCATGATTATTAATGAGGGGAGGGGTGCGGCATGTGGAGTGACGTCACCCGCTAATGGTTATTGGGGAGGGGTGCGGCATGTGGAGTTATGTCACTGGCTCATGATTATTAATGAGGGGAGGGGTGCGGCATGTAGAGTGATGTCACCGACTCATGATTATTAATGAGAGGAGGGGTGCGGCACGTGGAGTGCGCGACCTTCTTGTGCGTTCATGTAAATTTCCACGTGGATATGAATATTGATGAAGGGGGGGAGGGCTTTTGCAGTGACGTCACGCACGGATGTAGCACTGTGCTGTGTATGAATATTGATGAAAGGGGGGTGCTTTTGCAGTGAGGTCACGCACGTATGTAGCACTGTGCTGTGTAGGTTTATTTTTTACCGTCACTTTCTGTCAAGAAACGTCAAATTTGAAGCGACTTTGTGTAATAAATTATTTAAATCAGTTCGACCTTCCTCTGCATTAGTGTAAAAATCCACCCACTCATGAATATTAATGAGGGGGGTGGGCCTCATGTGGCGTGACGTACGCAGGGGGGTGGGCCTAGTGGAATGACGTCACATGCGGGACGGACAGACATTTCTGGGTGATTATAGTAGGTAATTAATGTACGGTGTAGTGGGATGCACTTGGCATGAAGGATGCTGTATGAATTTCAATTATTATTATGGTGATCATAATGAGCCAGCTTCTATTGCATGGTGTACAGAACAAGAGGGTTGGTGGTTGTGGGCTGTGGCTCCCTCTTACGTTGAGGGTTCACACACTAAAGGTCTGCTTCATCCTCCACGGCCCCTCAGGGATTTGGGTCTTTACAGTCGAGTGAGCGAGCGAAGCGCTTGTAGGCATGTCAGGAATACAGGTGCGGTCAGAGAGTGGGTTGGTGAGTAGTTGAGCGAGTGAGTGGGCGAGTGAGTGGGTGGGTGATTGAGTGGGCGGGTGAGCATGTGAGCGAGTGAGTGATAGAGCGGGCGAGTGAACAGGTTGTGGCCGTGTCAGAAAACGCAGAACATATTTGTTCACATCAGCTGATGCTCGAAGTGGAACGATCGGCCGGTGGTTTTTATTTTATTTTTATCGCAATCCAGAGCTGTCACTTCGAAGGGCCCCCGGGGCCACGGTTGCGTGCCTAGCGGCGTCCCGAGCGGCGTGCCGAGCGGCGTGCCGAGCGGCGAGCGTCGCCCCGTCACAGTTGCGTGGCAGAGAGGAGCCGGCGGGACGTTTGTGAAACCGCTTTAACGAGTGACGGCATCGCTCGGCAGATTCGTTCCTGGAGCGGCGCAGGGAGAACATGGAGCGAGGCGAGGCGGAGCTGCAGCGGAGGAGGGAGGCGCTTCGCGAAGCGCAGCGCAAGGAGGAGCAGGAGGAGATCGCACGGCAGACGGTGAAGGCTGGGTTGTTGTTGTTGACTTGGTGTGGTCTGTCACTGTTCTTGCTGTTGTTTTACTGCCTCTCCCAAGCTTGGGGAATTAATGTACTTAGGCAATTAGAATTTATTTATTTAAGGGGCACCTCGTGGCAGGATGTCAGGGGTCCGATCCCAAACCAGACGCCTGCTGTATATTGGGAGTTTGCATGTCTCTCTCTGTGTTTGCGTGGATTTTTTTCTCCGGTTTGCCCCTCCAGATTTACAAACATGCGTTTAGTGTATTCAGATTATTTAGCGGCTGTAAATTTCCACGTGATAAGCCGCAACTTTGTTGAGCTATCATTTGTGGCCAGGTCGCTTCTGAAAAAGTAGCCAATAGCTCAGTGGGACTTACCTGGTAAAATAAAAATCGTTTATAAATAAACAGTTTATTTAATAAACATCGTTTATAAAATAAACAGTTTATTTCATAAACATCGTTTATAAAATAAACAGTTTATTTAATAAACATCTTTATAAAATAAACAGTTTATTTAATAAACATCTTTATAAAATAAACATCGTTTATAAAATAAACATCGTTTATAAAATAAACAGTTTATTTAATAAACATCGTTTATAAATATACATCGTTTATAAAATAAACAGTTTATAAATAAACACCGTTTATAAAAGAAACTGTTTATTTAATAAACATCGTTTATAAATAAACATCGTTTATAAAATAAGCAGTTTATTTAATAAACATCGTTTATAAATAAACATCGTTTATAAAATAAGCAGTTTATTTAATAAACATCGTTTATAAATAAACATCGTTTATAAAATAAGCAGTTTATTCAATAAACATCGTTTATAAATAAACATCGTTTATAAAATAAACAGTTTATAAATAAACATCGTTTATAAAATAAACAGTTTATAAATAAACATCGTTTATAAAATAAACAGTTTATTTAATAAACATCGTTTATAAAATAAACAGTTTATTTAATAAACATCGTTTATAAATAAACATCGTTTATAAAATAAACACTTTATTTAATAAACATCGTTTATAAATAAACATCGTTTATAAAATAAACAGTTCATTTAATAAACATCGTTTATAAAATAAACAGTTTATTTTTAGTTATACATTTTTTATATAGTGATTTGTTTACCTTTGCTATACTTTGCACTCCTATCGTGTCTTGGTTGTTTGTTATTGTAACTGTATGACCCGCCGCTACTGGACATCTGTGAAGAAAGAGCTTCATAGCTCATCGGATTCTTGCAGTAAAAATAAATATTCTGATTCTGATCAGCACGATGACGGCGACGAGTACGATGGTCGTGATGACGATGATGAAGGGAATGATGACCGTGGCGGCGACGACGGCGACGACAGTGATGAAGACAATGACGGTGGCGATTCTGCATGCCCCGTCCCTCCCTCTGTGCCAGGCCGCACGCAGGCAGCAGCTGGAGGGCCAGCGGGAGGGCTCGCGGGCCGAGGTGCAGGCGCTGCGGCAGCGCCGTGACGTCCTCGCCGCCCGGCTGCTTGCGCTCGTGAGTGCCGCTCAGCCCCCCGGCGCGCGGAGGCCCAACACCCCGGCCCAGAAAGGGACGCCGGGAATTTTCAAACATTTTCATATCATTAAGGCGCAGTATTGCACTACAGCGGTACCTCGGTATACGTCGTTAATTCGTTCCAGAAGGGGTAAGGCTTATACCAAAAGTGACGTGAATGCCAAACGAATTTTTTTCCCATAAGAATTAAAGGGAATGGAAATAATCCGTTCCAAAGTATAATAAGTTATATTTTATATGGCATATTATACTTTAATGGGGTTGCATAACATAATGTAGACACTACTTATTACTAAAATGCATACATAAATTAAAATAAATGCATACATATACTAAAGTAAATTGAAATAAAAATAGAATGTAACGTCACTTTACCTTGCTGAGAGGAGTTGATAGCCTACGAGGCTGGTGGTGAGGAAGGGGAGCAGGAGGAGGAGATGTTATTTTTTGGAAGGAGCATCCCCTTCCATTAAAACTTCAGGAAGCTGAAATTCTGGGGGTTCTTTCTCTTTTCTGTCTTCTTTCTTGACTTGGACCTGATCGAGGCTCACCAGGTTTGAGTTTTACTAAAAACCTGTCCATTGAAGTTTGTTTTTAGCCTTCTTCTAAGAATGTTCCTGAAGTGTGACATTGTCTGGCCATTCCACACAATACCGTTACGGCTTGTTAGAGCCGTAACGGTATTGTGTACGCGGGTACTGTACGCGGTGACTCATCCCGACCCAGACAGGTTCTAGTGAGCGTGTCGTATCCCAAGCAAGACGTCGTATCCCCAAGACATTTTTTTCTCGTCAAAACACGACGTGTACCAAATTCGACTTATTCCAAAGCGGTCGTATACAGTACTACGGTACCACTGTACTTGTCAGTTCGGGCCAAGTAATGGGGTGCCTGGTATGCGGGAGGTGTATTTGCCTGCTATAAATTTCCACGTGATAAGCCACTTCGTTGAGCTATTATAGCTCTTTTTCAGAAGCCACCTGGCCACAAATGAATGCTCAGTGAAGTGGCTTATCACGTCGAAAATTCATCGCAGCCAAATACTTTAAACGCACGTTGATTATATCCAGGTTTAGGGGTCGGAATCGAACCCACGAGCTCCTGTATGCCGAGAGGGGAATCGAACCCAGGGGCCTGTTGCTGTTTGATCTGTTATAATAATACATGGCATGTGAATGGATGTGACAGGAGGCAGCAGCCCCCTCCCACGAACGATGTTGTCTTGTGTAACGTCCTCGTAGATCCCGTGACCCACGCCTGCTGCTGCTGCTGCTGCTGCCGCCGCTGTGTCCGTGCCGCCCCCCCCCCCCCCAACCTCCTCCGCTACGCCAGGCTCAGGCCCGCCAGGAGGCGCAGGCCGGCGCGGCGGACGCGAGGCAGAGCGCGGCGGAGTGCCGCGCGCGGTTGGACGCGCTCAACGAGCGAGCGGGCCAGCTCCACGCCGAGTCGCGCCGTCTCGAGGCCCAGGTGGGCGCCGCGCAGAGCTCCCTGGAGGCGCTGAGGGCCCAACGCGCTCAGCTGGAGGGGCGCCTGCAACGCGGAGCCCGCGGCGGTGCGTACGCGCGCTTTGCGTGAGCGGCGGCGCAGCGCTCGGCTCGCCGCCAACACCGGTGACGATGTTCACAATCGGTCCTGGGCCTCCCCTAGGTCGACTAAGGCCTCAAAATGAGTACCTGGTGCGGGTGTGTAAAAACATCGCCACTGGGGATAACAAAGGCGGCCGGGCGTGGCGCTGGCCATCCACGCCGTCGTGCCGGCCTTTGTAGGTGCTCGCTAACAGCACTTGCCTCAAGACGTCGATTCAGACTATACAGGGATCTTTGTTGTTGGTTTGTCCCGAGAACCTTAGACAGGTCACGTGGCAGCCCTCTATCTGCACCTAGCCCGGCACACGCGCCACGGCGACATCGCCACCGCTTGGCAAGCGGCAGCGCTAATTGGTGTTGTGTACATGGCGTGTGCTGCTTGCATGACCACGCGGCGGTCGTGGTGACGGGGTGGTGGTGACGGGGTGGTGGTGACGGGGTGGTGGTGACGGGGTGGTGGTGACGGGGTGGTGGTGACGGGGTGGTGGTGACGGGGTGGTGGTGACGGGGTGTTGGTGACGGGGTGGTGGTGACGGGGTGGTGGTGACGGGGTGGTGGTGACGGGGTCGTGGTGACGGGGTCGTGGTGACGGGGTCGTGGTGACGGGGTGGTGGTGACGGGGTGGTGGTGACGGGGTGGTGGTGACGGGGTGTTGGTGACGGGGTCGTGGTGACGGGGTGGTGGTGACGGGGTGGTGGTGACGGGGTGGTGGTGACGGGGTGGTGGTGACGGGGTGGTGGTGACGGGGTGGTGGTGACAGGGTTGTGTCGCGGGCCAGGCGGAGGCCTGGACTCGCTGTCAGCCGAGGTCCATTGCAGGAGGGCGGCCGTGCAGAGCCTGCGCGAAAAGGTGGAAGCCATCGAGCTTCAAATCCAGCAGACGCAAGTGCAGCGGCAGGTGCGTGCGTGCGACGTGTGAGTGCGTACGAGCGGTAGTGTACCACTTAGCATGCCACGCCACGAACTAGGCAACCCAAGTTGCTTGCTAACAGCTCTTGCCCCAGCCGTCTGTCAAAGGCTATAAGGGGGATCTTTGTCTTTGTGTATGAGTTTCTATGTTCTCCCCATGTTCTGTGGGTTCTCAGATTTCCTTCTATAAGCTAAAAGAATAACCATACGCACAGGGGCACCATCGCTCCCTACTGCAAATAATTGGCTGAACCCTCCTGAATAAAGAACCTTGAGACTCTGTGAGGCTTTCCTGGGAAAACACGAGCAATTTAAAAATAAAATCAGCCATCGCCCATCCAAGTGATGTCCAGGATCAACGCAGCTTTGCTCTGACGAGATCGAGCTCAGTGTGTGGGTGATGTGATCGTAGCAGCAAGCACGGACACCGATAATCGTATTGCGTGGCTGCTAAGGGCTTCATATTGCCACCTTCTTGGTATTAATATTTCCTAAAGCAGCGGCAGCGGTGGCAGCAGCAGCAGCCAGTCCGCCAAGCACTGTGATCCACCTGCTGACGCACAATTTACCTAGATGGATTTAACCCGGTGATCGCATGCGAACATTACCTCCGATGAGCACGGTTGGCTACTTACACACAGACTTAGAGTACTAGCGGCATCTGTTTGTAGAAGTAATTCTTTTAATGTATGAATTCTAATGATTTAAACTCTCATTATTTGCCATCAGCCATAACGGGAATTGCTCCCTGCTGATGATGTCGGTGTCTGTTCCGAGACCCGCGGTAACATGAACTGTGCCCCGGGGGGGGGGACAACCCCCGCGTCTCCCCTCGGTACCCCATCCCCCTTCCCCACGTCCCCTTCATGTTGTCCACCCGCACAGGACCCGCCGTCGGCAGCCAGCGCCACGACCGCCAGCGCCGGCTTCCACGCCGGCTCCTCTGGCCACGCGAGCTCCGCCCCGGCGTTCCAGCCCCCCGTCGCCATCGTCCCTCCCTCCCTTGCGCCGACGCCGAGCAACGCGAGCGGCGCTCTCTCATCCTCCTCCTCCTCCTCCTTCTCCGAGCAGCAGTGGCAGAAGCAGCAGCAGCAGCAGCAGCAGGAGCAAGGCGGGCCGTGCGTGGCTGCGTGCGACGCGGAGGAGTGGGGGGGCGGCGGTGGGGGAGGCGGCGCCTCCCAGCCCGACGTGGGCTGGGCGCGGTTCCCGGAGTTCGGAGACCCCCGCCCGGCCCAGCCCAGAGCCGGGGTCGCCAGGAGCAGAGGCTCCCAGTCGGAGCGGCGCACTGGGCCGCACGGGGGCGCCGGCTCCAACAGCTTGTGAGAGACGCACGCACGCACGCAACCACTCGCACGTGCAGAGCCTTCACCAGCAGCACTGTTGATCGCAGGCAGGCCAGCGGCTCTGCTCTCACACCAACGCCACCGCCGCCCACCCACTGGTGTTGTCAGGTGGCAGCGTTCTGCTTGTCCTCGACATGGCGCACCGTCTCCTGCGCTGGGGTGCCCTGGAAAGATTCGCGCTCTCGACATCACCCCATGATCTCGCTAGCGGCGGCACGCACGCAAAACGTCCCGCGGCTTCACCGCCGTCACTCTCGTACGGCAGGGTGGGTGAGAAAGCGTCCGCCCTCTACCGTGTAGACCGATGGTCACTTGAGGTAGGAGAAGGGATCTTGGAGGTAGCTCTGCAACATCCTCTTCTGGAGGCCATTGCCCGACGACACGATGGGTCCGCGCTGCTGCTCTGCGAGATGTCTGAGTGGACTACTCCGACTCGGAGCGTCGATCGTGATACATATTCAGGAAAAAAGACGAGAAAACGGATGGCACTTTGGGGTGCGCTCGTTGCGGACCACGTCTGTTGTTGTTTGTTGTTCTCAGTCTGGAGCGCAACATCTCGAGTTTCCCCGCGGTGGACGGGTCCCACGGGAACGATGGGAAACCCAGCGCAGCCTCGGCCTTTACTCCGCAGGCCCCCTCGGCCTCCGCCTACTGCCCGGTGAGAGGCCAAACACGGCCGGGCCCAGCCGGCACGCGCTAACTCGCGATTCGGCGTTCGACGCGAATTTGTGTTCGTGCCAAACTTTCAGATTCTCATTCTCGTGTCACGCTGCTGTTGTTTTTTTGCTTGGATTTCCGTTTTTCTCCATCGCTGTACTTTTACTTTGTATTCACGTTGCTTGTCGTTTCGGTGATGACGCAGGTCACTCGTGCAAATGAGAACATCCTGGTCTCTTCAGTGCTGGTGTTGGTGATAATGGTGGTGATTGTGATGGTTGTAATGGTGCTGGTGGTGATGGTTGCGATGATGGAGATGGAAATGATGGTGGTTGTAATAGTGGTGGTGATGATTGTGATGATGATAGTCACATTGGTGGAAATTATAATGGCGATGGTGACTGTGATGGTGGCGACGATGTAGTTGGTGGTGTGGTTGTGATGGTGGTGGTGGTGGTTGTCGTGGCGATCAGCGGTGACCGCTACTCCTCTAACACCACCTGTGCTCTCTCCGCCGTCCACTCTCCATCCCTCTCTATCTCTCCCGCGCCTGCCCAGCTGGGCTCGTGCGTTCGCGCCGTGGCGCTCTGCCGTTTCCAGGCGGTGCAACCCAACCACCTGGCGTTCTGCACGGGCGACGTCATCTCGGTGCGCGAGCGCCAGGACCTGTGGTGGCTCGGCGAGGTCGGAGGTCGCTCGGGATGGTTCCCCAAGTCGTACGTGCGCGTGACGGACGGGGACGCGGCCGCCGTGCCGCCGCCGCTCCCGCCGCCGATGCCACTCCTCGCCAACGGAGCCCGGTGGGTGTGAAGGCGGTGCGACTGCACCGCGTGGAGGGTGGGGGCGGGGTGGTCGGTCCCACGGTGCGTAGAGACTCACGTAGAGACCCGTAACTCTTACACAGAGATGCACAGATTTATACGTAGGGCCGTAGACTCGCATACAGACCCCATAGGCTGACATAGAGGCCATAGACTCGCTGAGACCCATACACTTGCAAAGAGAACCATAGACTTGAACTGTAGACTCGCATAGAGATCCGTAGACTTACATATAGACCCACAGATCCGCCAGTTGCATTGTATGTCTGGATGTGTTTTGAGCAATGGGAGGAAACTGGAAGAACCCAGAAGAACCCACGCAGAACAGGGGGAGAACGCACAAACGCCACACAAAAAGGCACCCAAGTTGGGGATTGAACCCAGACCCTTCTCGATGTGAGGCATAGCCATTAGCACTGCGTCAACTGCCGCCCCATGTCGTGTTGGGATTCGAGTTTATTTGTGTGTGTGTATTTTCACATCTGCCAATCATCTAAGCCAGTCAACCCATGGCACCTGGGTCCCGTGACCTCCTGCCATCGGACGTTCGATACTTCACGTGGCCTTAAAGTGCACCTAGCCTGGCACAAGCGCCCTGGTGACGTTACCGCCACGTAGTGGCGAATGGCGGCTGTTGTTTCACATCCCTCTGTCAATCCACTGCTAGATGAACTTACATTACATCGTTACGCTTGGGTCATCGTTAGAGCCGGGGGGAATTTTGGGCAAAGATAATTCCTCAACAAAGATGAAAAGTACGCAAGGAAGCATGGAAGGAGGTGTGCGTGCTTGGGACCGATTAGAGGACACACATCACGCCGGTTGTCGACTTGGGCTGGACGTGCGACCCGGCTGGAGGGGATGACGGCCTGTGGGTCGAGACTGGCGACGGAACAACAGACGAAGGAATGCAGCGCTCCGAGAGGCGACGTCCACCACCGCGGAGATGGAGCGACTAAATCGTCTCGCGCGCGCACGCCGACAGCGAGGTGGATTGCTGCTTTGCGACGCCGTGGGAGCTGGGAGATGGATGTGGGTTGGCGGCCACTGGACCCAGAGAGGTGGCGACTGGCTTGATTGGGGAAACCATCATCATCGAGCAGTGGAAAGCCTGTGGCTCCCCCCCCCGTACCGCACCGCGCCGCGTCTCGCTAACATCGCCGCGCTGCCGCGCTGCCGTGTGTCCCCAGGAGCCAGAGGGGAACGTGCGCGGCGAGCGAGGAGGAGGCCCGGCGGGAGGGCAGAGAGGCTGCAGTGCCGTCAGGTCACCGCCACCACGACCACTACCGCCACCACAACCACCACCGCTAGCACCCACGCACTCCATAACAAACCGACCACGTGACCCGTCCGTCGAGAACACTGCGCACGTAGCGATTTAGCGCGCTGCGCTTCGAACCCGGCCAATTACTCGCTCACGACCAATAACAGTGGTGAATATTTAACCTGTCCTAGGCCTCCCCCTTGGTCGACTCAGCCTTAAATGAGCACCTGGTGCGGCGTATCAATATCAACTCCGCGAGACGGTTTCTGTGGCCAATTCTTCAAAGATTTTGTGTGAGGTCACTTAATCATATTTTATGGCGCCACGGTGGCTAGGAGATGTTCACTACCTCGCCTGGTATGCAGGAGGTCGTGGGTTCAACCCCGACCTTGACGCCTGCTGTATATTTGGAGTTTGCGTGTCTCTCTCCCCGTGGTCGCGTGGATTTTTCTGAGGTTTTTGCCTCCACATTGAGAATCAACATCACGCGTTTGAAGTATTTGGCTGCTGCTATAAATTTCCACATGAGCCACGTCGTTGGGCTCTCGTTTGTCGTCAGATTGCTTCTGATAATGAGCTATGTAGCTCAGTCGGCCTTACCTGACAAAATAAAAATAAATCAGTTTAATAATTTGGCAAAGTCTTTGTCGTAAGATCCCCCCCACCACCGAATGCAGCCAAACAATCGAGCCGAGTGACAGCCCTCACAACAAGTGTGAGTCATTAAACAATTCAGCTGATTGTTGTTGACGACATGGACCGGACTTGCGGCGAGGAGGGCGACGATGGCCGATGGATCGCGGCAAATCCCCGGGGAGGGAATCGAATCTGCGGTGGAGGCCGAATCGGTTTTGGCATCTCCCCCCACCCCCCCCGCCCCAAGTAAATCGCGATTTTATTCTCAATTTGTCAGATTCGTGGAACCACTCCAAGTCGCGGCCGTACACGAGCATCTTGAGGAGAGGTAACGGCCGCCTCCACCTGTGCCCCCTCCCCCCCCCCGCCCCTGCTCTGCCGCTGTGTGCCGCGCGGAGAATTGGCGACGTCTCTGGCACTTCCGCGACGCTGTGAAGCAGTGCCGCCGGGACAACACGCTCCCGCAGAACCACGTTCAACGTGGACAGATTCCAGCCCCTAGAATTAAAAGTCTCGCTTTCATCGTCGCGTGGAGAACATCGGGTGGGAACGTACTGCCCCCCCCCACCCACTGTGTGGACCAGAGGTCAATTGAAGGCAACTCGGCGGTAGTTCCGTGATGTCCGCTTCCGTGGGCCGTTGTCTAATAACAGATGGGTTTTGCTGCCCTGCGGGAGTTCAGAACGGGTGCTCCATCTCATAACGCCACGCCGGCGTTGGCACAATCGGGATAAGATTGCCGAACAAATTAAATGTGAGGTTGAGCGTTTTGTTTTGGGCTCGGCTGATGACGATTTTGTGTTTCAGTCTCCAAGCCAAAGGCCCCTGCTCCTCCAGTCCACAGACATGAGAGTACGTCCACGCGCGCACACACGTCCACACGCAAAGACAAAGATCTCCCGTGTAGCCTTAACAGACTGTTGGGGCAAGTGCTGTTAGCGAGCACCTATGAAGGCCGGCACGAGGGGGTGGGCAGCCAGCACCACGTCCGGCCGCCTTTGTCTCCCCAGTGGCGATGTTTACACACTGCACCAGGTACTCATTCGAGGCTGAGTCGACCTAGGGGAGGCCAAGGACCGGTTCAGTTAATCGTCACTGGTCATGGCCGTGAGCGGGAATTGAATTACTCAATTGGGGATCACACACAAAGCAAACAGCAACATCGCCCATGACTGCAAAAAACTTGGCAGGACCCTCCTCGGTGAGGCTTTCTTTTTTTATCTACACCGTTGTCTCTGCTGGCTTCTGTCTCTCTGCAGAGTGCGCCGCGCTGTTTGACTACACGAGCAAAGAGGCCGGCGATTTGTCCTTCCTCAAGGGCGACATCATCACGCTGGTCAGTAAGAACGACAGGGATTGGTGGACGGGGACGCTCAACGGCAAGACGGGCCTCTTCCCGAGCAATCACGTGGAGGTGCTGACCAAGGTGGGTGTGTGGGGCGGGGGCGGGGGGGGGCAGGGTGGCGTGGGCAGCGTGTTGGGTTGGTGGGGGGGAAACGATTATCTCCTCGGCTCTCTGGTCCATACCCGGTCAAAACAAACAACGCAACTCCATGGGGCAGTGGTGGGGGGGGCCCTACTCCCCTTCATTCTACTGTCCCTTTCACGTGGTTCCGCCGCGCCGGAATGGATGTTTGCGTTGTTTTGTTGTTGTTGTTGTATCCCGTTGTTGGAACCCCTCGGTGTGGTTTGCCAGACCCATGTGCTGCTGTTAAAAATTATCGTTAAAAAACACGCCCAACTCAAATGGTCGTCACACCCTGGGCCCGTCGTCGCTCACGCTGCCTCGCCCCCCTTTCCCTTCAGGCCGGCGAACCGTCCGCACCGTCGTCCGCGCCGGCGTCCGCGCCGTCGTCCGCGCCGTCGTCCGCGCCGGCGTGCCCCGGCGGCAGCGCCAATCGCGGCGCGGACACTAAGGCGTCGCGGCCCGGGGCCCCGTCGGCCCACAGCGTCGTCGCCCTCTACGACTACTGCGCGCAGAACTCGGACGAGCTCTCGTTCGTGCGCGGCCAGAGCATCGGCGTGACGCGGCAGGCCCACCCCGACTGGTGGGAGGGCGAGGCCGGCGGCCTGCGCGGCCTCTTCCCCTCCAACTACGTCAGGGAGGTCCTCCCGCCGGAGTCGTCGCTCTGAGTCGGGATCGTCGCAGCCGCGCGCGGAGCGACGTTTTCGCACGCCGGAGCCCGCGATCCGAGAGGTCGCAGGGTTCCATTTCATCTGTCCGTCGGGCGGTTTTGAAGGAATGGCGTGAGTTTCCTTAACCGGGGTGCTTCCCGCTCCCAATCTACCGCCCGTCCCCCGCCTCTGCCGAGCCGGTAGTACGAGTACCCCACGGTAAAATTGGATCGGCAGGTTCCAGTGTGGGGCCAGATAAGATGTGGGCAAGCCCGCCTCCTCCGACACACCTTGGTCAGTGTGGGAGTCGACCAAATTGTACCCACGCGAGAGTTGCCTCCCGCACAACTGCCCTCCCCATCGGCCATCGACACGCGCAGTCGCGGGGCAGCGCCCTTCTTACGCTTTCCTTCATCGCCTCGTGGGGACTCGCCGCTTAGCGCGCGAACGTGCGACCGACCCGTGTGTATCTCTTGTCTGCAGCTCTCTCATTTATCTCTCTGCGGCCGAGTGGGCCAAAGCTCAGCGGGCCTCTCTCAAGGGCCGTCGTGCGCCACGCGTTGGTTCAAGGAGCCGGCTTTCAGTCATTCCGGCGTCTGCAACTCCCCGGGCTCTCCCACGAGTCCCAGGGGGGTTGCACCGTGCTCCCCCGCCCCACCCTGCACGGGGGCAGGGTGACGGAAGTCGCCTACGTGACCGCCGCAGGAGGCGTGGGTTTAAACGAAACCTACAGCCCTGCGTCGCTCCACTGCTGGAACAGGGTTACCCCGGCTCCGTGCAGGTTGTGGGGGTTATTTTGTCATCTTGGTTTGGCGCCGGTGGGGGAAGCGTGGATATGGGAGCGTAGAAATACGGGACGAGAAAGGCTTTTTCCGCACTGCCCTGTTTGCCCATCACGTGGCTTAGCCGATAGCGGCTACGGTGCACGGTGGGCGCCTGTACGTGACTGTCTCAGGCTTTGAGGTCCGTTAAGGTCGGGTGCATTCCAGGTTGACCGGGTCACGTGGGCTGGGGTTGAGTCCAGCGAAAGGGGGACAAACGTGTACGTTGCAATGACTTTAGTCTGCGTGCGTCGGGCAGTCTGTGTTGTGACAGAAGGAACCGGGTACCTCCGATGGATGGTCAGTGGTGAGCTCTGTAACGACCTGTGATTATGTTCACCTCGCTGTCCTTCTGAGGGTTATATGTGTGTGTGTTATTTTGTTAAACTCTTTGCATTCCTCGAGTTGGGAAATGCTGTTGAAATCAAAACAGAAATGTTGGGTAAGGGGTGGGGGAATGTGGGGCGTTGATGGGGGGGGGGGGGGGGCAGGCAGCTTAAAGTCCGCGCGGTGTGACCGGCATTCACGTGTGGCAGTCAATAACAAAAGAGACACAGTAAAGCCGATTCAAAATATTTGCAGCGCGAAGAAATACACGCACTAATGTAAAAACAAAAGTTGTTGAACGTTAAATATTAATATAATAAACATTTCGATCAAAAGCTTGTACCCACAATTTATTTCTCACTTTCGTTGTAATGCGTGTTTAAAAAAAGGACGTTGAACGTGTCTGGCGATCGTGATTCACTTCACCAAATCCACCCTTGCCGAGACTGGGGGGGGAGGGGGGGGCACAAGGTGGTGTGGTGGGGGTCCTCCAACCGATAGAGGCCCCCCCCCACCGCCTGCAGAAACCCCGCAGGCTGCCTTGACACAGTGAGAATGCGAGACTCGGCCCAGCAAAGGGCAGGCCCAGCCAGAAGCGTTCGGGGTTGACCACGCTGCTGCTGCTGCTTGGACAGAGCTGTGTGTGAGACGGCTCCTTGCAAGAACTGCCGGAGACTAGCACTTGCCCCGGCAGCCAGCGAAGGCTACACGGGGGGACCTTTGCCCGTGGCTTGGGAGAGTCCATCTCATCTCGCGACCAGCAGCAGGGATCGAGGAAGGCTTGGAAAGGAACGGACTGAGAGCGGACTCCGTGGACGGGACGGGACGGACCGAACCGCGTGGCCTTTTTGCGGTTGTGTCGGTGCTACGTGTTGTTCGGCACGATGTCCGACGTTTCGCTCCGTGTGCTGGGGAGTTTTCAGGAATGGATGATGAATGTGGTGTAGACCCCCAACATCGTTCCACGTGTGACGCGTGCTATTCAGAACAAGTGCCGTAGGTTAATCCTGACGTCACATCCGACACGTCTCAAAGGCCCATACCTCTCAAGCCTCGTAACGTCTCTCAAGAGTCCATTACATCTCTCAAGAGTCCAGTAAGTCATCACGTCTCTGTCCATCACGTCACGCAAGTTCACAGTCCCATCGAGTCTCAAACGTTCAGCACGTCTCTCAAATGTTACCAGCACAGGAGTCCATCACGTCCATCAAGAGTCCAGCATGTCCTCAAGTCTTTTCCTGTTCGTCACATCTCTCAGCGTTCGTCACATCTCTCCCTGTTCGTCACATCTCTCCCTGTGTGTCACATCTCTCACTGTTCGTCACATCTCTCCCTGTGTCACATCTCTCCCTGTGTCACATCTCTCCCTGTATGTCACATCTCTCACTGTTCATCACATCTCTCACTGTTCGTCACATCTCTCACTGTTCGTCACATCTCTCACTGTGCATCACATCTCTCACTGTGCATCACATCTCTCCCTGTTCGTCACATCTCTCACTGTTCGTCACATCTCTCACTGTGCATCACATCTCTCACTGTGCATCACATCTCTCCCTGTGTGTCACATCTCTCACTGTTCGTCACATCTCTCCCTGTGTCACATCTCTCCCTGTGTCACATCTCTCCCTGTATGTCACATCTCTCACTGTTCATCACATCTCTCACTGTTCGTCACATCTCTCACTGTTCGTCACATCTCTCACTGTGCATCACATCTCTCACTGTGCATCACATCTCTCCCTGTTCGTCACATCTCTCACTGTTCGTCACATCTCTCACTGTGCATCACATCTCTCACTGTGCATCACATCTCTCCCTGTTCGTCACATCTCTCACTGTTCGTCACATCTCTCACTGTTCGTCACATCTCTCACTGTTTGTCACATCTCTCACTGTGCGTCACATCTCTCACTGTGCATCACATCTCTCACTGTGCATCACATCTCTCCCTGTTCGTCACATCTCTCCCTGTGTCACATCTCTCACTGTTCGTCACATCTCTCACTGTTCGTCACATCTCTCACTACGTCACATCTCTCACTGTGCATCACATCTCTCCCTGTGTCACATCTCTCACTGTTCGTCACATCTCTCACTACGTCACATCTCTCACTGTTCGTCACATCTCTCACTGTTCGTCACATCTCTCACTACGTCACATCTCTCACTGTGCATCACATCTCTCCCTGTGTCACATCTCTCACTGTGAATTACATCTCTCCCTGTTCGTCACATCTCTCCCTGTCACATCTCTCACTGTGCATCACATCTCTCACTGTTCGTCACATCTCTCACTGTGTGTCACATCTCTCACTGTACGTCACATCTCTCGCTGTGCATCACATCTCTCACTGTGCATCACATTTCTCACTGCGTCACATCTCTCACTGTACGTCACATCTCTCACTGTTCGTCACATCTCTCACTGTGTCACATCTCTCACTGTGTCACATCTCTCACTGTTCGTCACATCTCTCACTGTACGTCACATCTCTCACTGTTCGTCACATCTCTCACTGTGCATCACATCTCTCACTGTACGTCACATCTCTCACTGTACATCACATCTCTCACTGTACGTCACATCTCTCACTGTGCATCACATCTCTCACTGTTCGTCACATCTCTCACTGTACGTCACATCTCTCACTGTTCGTCACATCTCTCACTGTGCGTCACATCTCTCCCTGTGTCACATCTCTCCCTGTGTCACATCTCTCACTGTGTGTCACATCTCTCACTGTAGGTCACATCTCTCACTGTACGTCACATCTCTCACTGTGCATCACATCTCTCACTGTACGTCACATCTCTCACTGTGCATCACATCTCTCCCTGTGTGTCACATCTCTCCCTGTCACATCTCTCACTGTCACATCTCTCAGCGTTCGTTACATCTCTCCCTGTTCGTCACATCTCTCCCTGTCACATCTCTCACTGTGCATCACATCTCTCACTGTACGTCACATCTCTCACTGTGCATCACATCTCTCCCTGTGTGTCACATCTCTCACTGTGCATCACATCTCTCACTGTGCATCACATCTCTCCCTGTGTGTCACATCTCTCCCTGTCACATCTCTCACTGTGCATCACATCTCTCTCTGTTCGTCACATCTCTCAGCGTTCATCACCTCTCACTGTTCGTCACATCTCTCACTGTTCGTCACATCTCTCACTGTGAATTACATCTCTCACTGTTCGTCACATCTCTCACTGTGAATTACATCTCTCACTGTGTTTCACATCTCTCACTGTGTCACATCTCTCACTGTGTGTCACATCTCTCACTGTGTGTCACATCTCTCACTGTCACATCTCTCACTGTGTGTCACATCTCTCACTGTGTCACATCTCTCCCTGTGTCACATCTCTCACTGTGAATCACATCTCTCACTGTGTGTCACATCTCTCACTGTCACATCTCTCACTGTACGTCACATCTCTCACTGTCACATCTCTCCCTGTTCGTCACATCTCTCACTGTGCATCACATCTCTCACTGTGAATCACATCTCTCACTGTGTCACATCTCTCACTGTTCGTCACATCTCTCACTGTGAATTACATCTCTCACTGTTCGTCACATCTCTCACTGTGAATTACATCTCTCCCTGTTCGTCACATCTGTCACTGTGCATCACATCTCTCACTGTGAATCACATCTCCCCCTGCTCGTCACGCCTCCCGACAGTCCAGCACGTCCCTGGCGTCTCTCGGCGAGGGTTCACGAGGCAGGCAGCGTCCCCCGCTCCCTCCGCCCGCTCCGGTTCGCGGGGCAGCGCTGCGGGCACGGCGCAGCAGAAGTGGAGGACGTCGCCGGAGCGCAGCAGGGCGCTCTCCTGCACGCCCAGCGGGGTGCCGAGCGCCGACACGAGGAGGCTCAGCAGCTCGAGGTCGCAGGCGCGCAGCACCGCGGGGAGCCGCGCCGGGCGCGAGAAGAGGCGGAACCGCGCAGGCCTCCCGCACGCGGCGGCCAGCCCCAGCAGGAACCTCTCGCGCAGCTGCGCACGGGCCGCCTGCTCCCGGCGCACTAACGAGGAGTGAGCCGAGGAGGAGGAGCAGGAGGAGGAGGTGCCCGTCTCGTGAGAAGAAGCGATGCGGTGCAGGGCGCGGAAGCGCGCCGAGTTCGGGTCGAAGCCTTTGCCGCTGTTGGGGCCGAGAGGCAACCTCAAGACGGGGACCGGGGTCGCCATGGGGACCGGAGTCGCCATGGGGACCGGGGTCGCCATGGGGACCGGGGTCGCCATGGGGACCGGGGTCGCCATGGGCACCGTGGCGGCCATGCGGTCCGTGGCCCTCCCTGGTGGGAGCACGTAAGGGGGGGGGGGGGGGGGGGGGGAGATTGCGCGTTGTGATCTACGCGAGCGCAGCGGTTAAGTGCTGCGGCCCCTGGCTACCCGAGTTCGATTCCACGCTCACGCCCACCAACGCCAGCGACGATTGTCTGAACACAGTCCCTGGGTCTTCCTCCCCTAGGTCGACTCGGCCTCAATTGAGTACTGTGCTGGTAACCCTGGTGCGGTGAACATCACCACGAGGGCGTGGTGCTGGCTACCCACAACCTCGTGTCGGCCTTAATAGTTGCTGTTCGCCAAGGAGTCGTCCATAAATGACGTCACGCGATTTTGGACGATTTTTGACCCCCCCCCCCCCTCGTCACACGGCGTCAAAAGAAGTCAGACCCCCCTTAAATGACGTCACAAAGCTCTGCCGCCCCCCCCCCCCAAAACCATATAACCATTTTGAAAATAAAACATGCTTCAAATCGCTTTAAACTATGTCATTGTAGTGCGTATTTAATGTGGTGCTGCACTCTGATGTTGTAGGAGAAAACATTTATGAAAAAGGAGGCGTTGGAAAGATGAAATTTAGCATAAAATTCACTTGAAAATATTCAACGTCTAACTAAAACTGCAGATGTTCAGAATATTATATTGAAATTATCTTATACTTATAAAATATTAAAAGTAATTATAACTATAAAAAATACTTTAAACTTTGTAGTAGAACGAAGCAAAATGTAGAGTACAATTATAACAATCACATATTCATTTCACAGAATGAAAAGCCCTGGTAGAATCATTGGAATCAAAATGTTTAATAACAATCATAAATTTTTTTTTCAAAATGTATGCTCCTTCATGGAATTAATAAAAGGTGACCTTAGTAAATTTAAATAATCAAATAGTTAATAATGAAAATTTAATTAAAATTAGTGTTATAACAATTCTGTTAAATTAATATTTATATTCTTAGTTCTTTCGGTAAAGTCACGTTGAAGGGAAGCAATACAATAATAAAATATATATAAAACAATAAAAATTCTCACGTTTCGACCATAACACAAACGGTCGTCATCAGGTGTGTCGGTTTGCATAAATTTATCTATTTTTAAACGGTGTATTTATTTATTTATAAAAACGTGAGCGACACGCGCAGCGATTTGGCAGTTTATTTAGAAGGACGAGTCCATCTATGTTCTGAAAGGAGGGGGGAGACGAAAAATGTAATATATGCTGTCTGAAAGCCACTGTAAGCGTGAACAATCAATTAAGACCTGAAATGGTTTATCAAATCCTTCCAATGATTGCTAAGCCAGAATCCATCTTCTCGGTTGAAATTGTCTCTGTGCTTGTATATGTGGATAGCCTCATGAACGAATCTCTCATGGTAGCCAGATGGCTTATTATTTTATTGTTTCCCTTCAACGTGACTTTACCGAAAGAACTAAGAATATGAATTACTGCAGTCACGAAAGCTTTAAATCAAAAAATAATTTATTTAAAGTTGCGCACTTTGATGTGACGTCACATCTCTCAAACCCCTCCCCCCAAGGTGCGTGACGTCATTTGCTCCAGCACACGGGGGCATCTTTTTCGAGTTTCTCCTCATCCCATCAGCCCCACGGCAGCATTCCTTCAGGGGGAAGTGCACAATATCATGAGCAGCATTGCACTGAACACGAGGGCGAATAACCCCGACTGCTTTCGACATTTGGTGTCTTCATCAGCACCGATGCGCCCCGCCAGATGCGAGCAGGCAAGGGCCTCAGTTAAGACGCAAAACTCCACAGGCACACGACAAGCAGCCCCATTCGTTACCCCGCTGCTAGACGAGGACTGCCCTTTCCCACGCCGTTGCGGGGTCGACTGACCATACTTCACCACGCTGGTCAATGCCGGCTGGCG